CAGCCCCGTCGCAGTCCGCTTAACATAGTCAGTGTTCAGCAGTTATCAGCAGACAAAAGCTGTGCAATAAATTTAGCATACAACCGAGAATGACCATCCAAAAGTCTACCTCGCCTTGATACCCACAATTTAATGTATATGTTTACGTCCGGCTTTCATTATATTAATTATTAGTCTTATTATTTTGAAAAGCTAAAGATTTTTATCTATAAAAGGTAATATAATCTAAAATTCTCCTAGAACAACATACTCTAATCTAATTAAAAATACAATATATTTTAATTAAGAATAGATTATATTAACGGTATTTATATCGCGTAATATTTGCATAGTATGTATAATCTATATTTATATTAGTGCCTTCTCGGCCTTTAGCTCTGCCTTTAGCTCTGCCTTTAAAGTTGCTATATTGAATACTATATAAGCTCTAGATAAACAGGACGTCCTATTTCTTATTAGTTCAATCAAAGTCGCAATAAATATTATTCTTAATCTCCTGATTATATCTACATTTTATATCGGTAACTAGAAACCTAATATCAACATACAGGCTGGAATCCGCCTAACCTGCGGCATAGCTTATAACAGGAGGCTAATCTATTAACTCTTTCTCCAGCAGATAGCTAGTTACGCTAGAAGTATTCTTCTTTATAGCTGTTAGTCGCCTCCTAGTAACGCATACCAAACCGCTCCCTTTAAACCCTACCTTCTACCTCTTTCTACTTTCTTATAGACAGCGTACTCTGCATTTTATAGCAATTTTAATTTATAGTATAGAGTAGCATGTTCTACATATATCTAATATTATAATAAGGTCATCGTAGCCATTTCATCCTCCCTCAAATTATTTGCTGTAGAAATATAAATACTTATTATATATTATAGCAGAGTATTAACTACAAGAAAGTCGGCCTCAGCGCTTAGATATTATAATCTTAATTTACTTCTGGTAAACAACACTCTATTTCTTTTATTTTATTAATATAAGCGACTTTATATTCTATTCCCTCGCTAATCGCACGGCTAACTTTAATATAGCTAGTCCATCTACTAACCGAGATACAGATATTAGCAGTACATTGCTAATAATAGAAAAAGAGTAGAAAGGTGTATTAGGAAACAATACCTTTTATCTAAAAGAAATTATAGTTTTATAATAAAAAGGGATTTTAGAGATAGCCTAATATACAGGTCCTTTCTTTAATAAATTCTACTATTTACAGTATATTCTAACGCCAAGCCTGCTATCTAGCTTTTAAATTCAATTACGATTCTAGCAAAAAACCTAAACATATTTAAAATAAGAAAACTAAAATTAAAATTAAGAAAATCGAAAATAATAGACAGCAAAAGAGTCTCTATATTAGAATCTCTAAATAGAAGATTAAGTTATTACTATATAGTTACTATACTATAATTTATAGATTATATAGATTTTCTCTAATCTTTCTGTAGAAAGACTGTTGCTACAGATAATTAACTAAAATTTAGTATCTAGCGTACATTACATAAGGAATAAAATTATTTATCAAAGGTTAAAAGGCTAGAGATCTTATACCGTGTAAGTTTATTTAATATAAATTTTATATAAAATCGGTGCTATTAATATAATAGACTTAATACCTAAAGTTTATAATTTTCCTTAATAAAAGGTCCCTTGCTATAACTAAAAATTGCTAAAATTAGCTAAATTAGCTGAAGCAATCGGAGAATAAGAACTAAACTATAATTTTTTTAGAAGACTACGGTAAATCTATATAAGGGCTAACTACAGTACTTCAATTTATATAGCTAATTTTTAATAGATAAGGGATTTACTAGTTAAATTACTATTAGCGGCCGTCTTTTTCATAGTAAAAATATTACTAATTTAGAGGGCTAGACTCTGGAAACTAAGGAGAATAGCCTCTAATTTACTACTAAATTATCTTTATCTCTCACAGACTTATCTAAACTAAATTCTATATATTTGAAGATAAAAAGCCTATAAAAAAATTCGATAAAATTAATCTTAGTTTTAGAAGAATTATTTTAGTATAGTATTAAGGGTAACCCTTATTTATATAGCAAGTAAGTTTATAGTCTGAAAATAGTATTAGGACCCTTGTAAAAACTATAATCTTTACTAAAAAATATAGTCCTGGCCGATGGATCGCTTCCTTAAAAAATACTAAGACTATATAAAAAATCGTTAAGGTATATTTGCAGATTCTCTTAATAACGAAATATACTAATAATACTATAACAGAAAAAAATTCTTACATCTCTTATAGATATTCTAGGAAGATTTAGTAGCTTCGAATAGGTCCTAAAGTTCGAACAGTTATTACAGCCTGCACTATCCCCTAAACCGGTCTTAACTCTCTTTAAGAAATCCCGAATAGGTTATTTATTATTTACTATTATAGAAAAATACTTAGAGGATAACATATTAAAAGAAGGACTGGTCTTTTTCTAAGACACGCAGGGTGTATTAAGTACAGCTATATAAATATGCAGTCCAAGTCACCTTTACGTAATATTCTTTTTATTAATATAATTACGCGCGCACGTCTGAATACTCCCCTTATATCCGCTTAATAGTATAGTAGATATCTATAAGTTATATACATAAGCGAAAATAGATTTCTAGCAGAATAATATTAGGAGAGGGGCCGCTAGTAGCCTAATCCCTTAAATAATCTAAGACTCTAAGTCGTATTCTATTTTAATATCTCTATAGCCGAATACAAAGAATAGAATTACATTTACTTCGAAGACCCGAGCGGAAATTTATATCTTATTAATAATAAAAATTCCGAGGTTAAATATCTAAATTAGGCGATAAATATTAATATTGCATTAAGATCGGTATTAAATATAAAAGTTTGGTGAAGCTACACTGGAATGCTTATCTAGAAAATCTACTATAAATATATAGTAATTACCTTTTAGAACAGAAAAGGCAGACTATTAGCACTTAAAAGAAAGATAGAAGAGCTAGACCGCGCAGATACAGACTAAATTTTTTCGGAAATTATTGCACCCTCTATTACAGGGGATATCTTATTTAAACTATAGATATAGAGTAGATATCTCTTTATTCTACTTAAGAACTTTCTACCCTAGATTAAATATATATTTTCTTATAATAAATCCGGGTTCTTAATCCGTTATTCTCGCAATATATCTAGCTAGTTTATTAAAGACCCCGAACTAGTGTGCCAAATCTCTGTAGGCTCTTTTTATACCTATACCGAAGAGGCCTAGTATACATGTCACCAGGCGGGCAGCTAGAGTGCAGAATACTTTACCCTAAAGTCGCTGGACCTCGCGCAATTTTGCAGAGGGGCTGCCGACAACGGCGCCACTATGAGGAAGGTGACACACTTTGGCCTCCACCACCTAAAGACTGAAGAACCGCCGGGTTGGATACTTACTTGATTCGTGACCTGAATAGTAGAGTCTAATTATCTATCGGATTTTTATCTGTTAGAGCAGAAGAATTTGGCATGTGCGGGCCAGTCTTGTTGGCCCTACTGTGGTGACTTCGTTAACTAGATAGCCTACTGTGAAAGATACAGAACTATAGATAGTCATTTGACCCAAAAATGAGATAAACTTGTGCGGGTCATGCTAATATCGACCATCGTATGTTTTTGACCAGCTAAGTTGGGCTGAAAATTTGTACTTTGCTTTGCGTAGTAGAAACAAAATACTCCCTACCTGTGTACTATGAAACGTAGACCGTATCATACGGTTTACTTGACAGGACTGACAATAACAGCGAGCGTAAGAGTACCTTACAGTCCACTGTCCTGATCCCAGTCCGTGCTGAGCAGGTGGGCTGGACAAGTGAGCACAACTAGACTGTACTCATAAACCGCTTCTATTGAGCAATCTACTGTGAAGCTACAAAATTCCCTAATGGCCCCGTATTTCTCCATACTTCCTGCCTTCTCTTTTCAGCTGTTCGAACCCGTCTATTAATGGCAACATAACTAAAAGTTCCAGATACTACGCTTCGAGTAACGAGGTTTGTTAGTGCTGTTCCTATACAACTGTTCTAATGGTCCAGAACATTCTGAAGCTAACCAGGCAGTTGTCGGAGGCGAAGAAAGATACGAAAACAAGTTAACTAGTGTCGTCTCTATTACGTCGCCGTCAAGGTAGAAGAAAGTTGGTTGATTGAGGAGCCAAGCTCCTTAAAGGATACTGGGATATGCTAGAAAAATACGTTTCTGTCGGCCTTGTCCCATAGGGTCGAAAAAGCGTGGTATACATAGAACTGTCTACCCATCATCCATCAAGTGCCTAACAATTCTCTTCAGAGTCGCAACAAAGTCAGACGACTACTTTTATCGTCAATAGACTTGGTTCTTTACATAAATACAGCTACCCTTCCTGTCAGCCCAGCCTACATTTTCAGCGTGTTAAACCTAACGGATAAGCCTAGTTATGATTTCGAATGTCCGCTGAGGTAAAGCACCGGATTGGTTTTCCTGTTTGTTTGGAGGGTTCGATCCCCATCCCCGACGCCAGCACATATTTACTGCCACAATTGTCTCTCAAAGGAAGACAATCACAACACTTGGTATTGAAGTACCACGTAAATCGAGGCTCGATCTGGTAGAAAATAGAGCTTCGTATACGGAATTTATTCCGGATACAAGCAGATTAATTGGAAATTGATCTGATATAGATATCTTGTAAATATAAGCCCTCAGTTTCTCAGATGTGAATTAGAACAGTCAATCTTCCACTAATCAACAGCAGTTTCTGGGTGGCCCCTTCTGCTTTGCGTGTGTGTACTCGAGGGGTAGGGTACCCTGTTCCTCAATGCCAACGAGGTGGGCTTCCCAGCTCTCTTAGAGACGGTGCGCCCTTCCCAATTTTACGGTAAGTAGCGGCGAGCCCCCACTTGACCGCAGACCGCCCAACCACCTCTTCTTCAGCTGCCACCTCTGCCCCGATAATCATAGCCTTCGTCCTTCACTCTCCTGTTTTCAATGGCAACTAGCATGGGCACCTCACTATCGCATCTACCCCCCGCGCTGTTGCGGAAGAAGGAATATCGAATCCTGATGTGGGGACTCGTACGTTCGACGTCTTACACACTCGGAGATGCCTACCTGGTACTATACTGACCACCACGCGTCGTAACCAGTTTGATTCGGGAAAGACCACTATCCTCTACTCACAACTAAAGGTAATGTAACGTACACGCATTTCGCTTGTTAACCGCTAACTATCGGCCGTCTTCAGAACCTCGGGCCCATTGACACAGTATCCACAACTGGATTTAACGTTGAGTCAGTGACATATGATAGAGGTATGGATCTCGTCGTTTGGGTATGTCACTTTCTATTTTTCGACCAGAGAGACTCTTCTAGGTAGCCCAACTGTGCTCCTGTTGCTGACCCACCTGCCATTGCCATAAGGACCTGGGAGGCCGAGACAAGTTGCGTCCAACGTGGGCCTCCTACTTCAGCGATACTGCCGCGATCATATATGTTGTCGATTCCACCAATCTCAACCGACTGGACGACGCTGCTTTTGAACTGCGGTCCTTACTGGATTTTGAGGGCATGCGAGACGTCTGCGCGGCTCCGCTTCTGGTGTTCGCCAACAAACAGGATCTACAGGGGGCAAAGACACCTGAGGAGATATCGGAGGCGTTAAAGCTAGAGGAATTCCGGGACCGAGAGTGGAAAACTATTGCGTGCTCTGCTGTGGATGGCTCTGGTATTGCTGAGGGTATGGATTGGCTCGTGGTGAGCGATCCTCGTCCTTTCCAGGCGACTTCTTTTCCTGAAGACTAATGTATGCTTATGTAGCAATGTCTTCGATCTAAAGAGACATGAGGTCCGTTCCATGTGCTACAGTACTATCCATAGCTCTAGCGTTGAAATTTGCAGTATTGACTTAGTTGTTGGCACCGCAAGAGTATGTGCGCTGTAGCGAGGACAAGGCGGAAGGTGAGGGGGCGAGGTTCCTAGATTGCAGGAAAGACCGCGTTGTTTGGACTTGCACAATTGATGCGGTTTTGTACGGCCATTACCGTTACAGTTCTGCTGCCATTATGGAGCGGCGAACTTATATTAACTATATAGTGCGTTTTCAGGTCCTGCAGGTTCCGTGATCCTATGAGACCATGCGTCAACCGGACGGGGCTGACCGGCAACATTGGGTAGCCGACTTGCCCGTTCAGAAGGACGATCAATACTCATGATCGGAGAATGAGAACTTTCAAAGGAGAACTTCCAAATGAGAGCTCCGGGATTGGGTATGACGATCCGGATGAGGACAAACGCTATCTTCAATAAGATGAGATACAGCACCGAGGTCAGTCCTTTATGGATCTGTGGGGCGTTCCTATTGGTAGGGGAGTTACGGCACCCTTGTCAGTCAACTGGTTGGGGGCGGCGCCACGCCAGGCAGTACCAACGGGCAACGACAACCAACCGAACCCCGCAAGAAAGAGATGCCCGCAACTTGCCCATTGCTCAGCCCGAGGCTCAGTAATCAGCACCTGAGCACTGAACCTGAACGAGCAAGCCACGAGAAAATCAAGCATATATGCTGTGGGACACGACTGAGATTTCAGGAATAGCGGCCTCACGATGAGCTCGTGATGAGGCTCCAATGCGCTGCTCGTAAGCCTTCAGCTTGGCTGCTCATTAGCATTGACATTGGTTCTTCGTAATAATTTCTCGTTCCACCATCATACCAGCTATATATACGATAGAATGAAGGTTTTAGAGGAGCGGCTAACCTGGCAAGGAAGCGTGGCTTGGACAGGAACCCCCGGTCCCCATCTGTTGCAATAGGTACCAAGTGTCAGTCCGGCCTGCGGCGCAATGTAACTGACCCTAGTACCCCTTGTTGTCATGATGTCTGGCACGTACAATGGAGTATGCCGTGAGTGGCCAAAAACCGTGGTTCTAATAGTTACACAAGTATAAAGAACGGCCTTATATCCGTTGGGGCTTGTAGATCACTAAGTGCGGTCTGTCCATCCCTGGGCTTGTTGTCCCTGTACACGTAGATTGAGATATGTACTGAAACGCCTGGTAGACAAGCGATCAAGCGAGGTTAGCCCCCAGCGCATCACGGATGTTACCTCCTTGTGCAGACAGTATGTTTCTTAAGTTCCGTAGGTCTTTCTTCTCGAAATAAAAACTATCGCATTGACATTCACATACTCGCCCAGCTAGGTCAGTTAGCATTTTACGGCTCCTCCTGGAAGCGGTAAATATTTCCTATTGGTGCTTGGATCTCGAAATATCGACAAAGCTTTCTTTGACGGCCGCCATGGCTCCATTAAGGTTTGAAACCCTGTCACCCCACACTTTTTGCCACCCGACAATGCCCGCTGGAAACTTGTACTTAGGGTTTTTTAGGATGAACCGCCTGGATCTAGATCCTTCTGCACAACTTTCTAACGCTATTTGTCACATAGATTAGAGGCTATTACAAATTCCGGTGCTTGTATACCCTTTTCCTGTAGCAAGCAGTCGTGTAGCAAAGCGGATATTTCTTTCGACGAATGAATCGGTCGCGACTATCCCATATGTATGTAGAGTGGGTTAACCTAACCGCTGTACCTTAACTAAACCTAACCTAACCGGACCCAGGTAGATTAAGATATAAAGATTTTAATAACCGGACAGATATAGTTAGATTTAGATTAATGTAATCTAATCGGGATTATCTACTACAGTGGGGGTTCAAAACTTTTTAACACGCAAAATCACGCTAAAATTACCGCTTTCCTATTTAGGACTAGTTGACGCTAGATAGACCTCGCCGCCTCTAGTATTTAGTATACCAACTATCCGCAGATAGGATAGCCTGCACGCGATGAGGCATAGTATTCGATAGATTCTGCAAAACTCTGTCATCTATAGCGTGCCAGGCCTCATTCGCCGCCTCTATCAAGCGATCAAGCGTTTCTTGCGTATCAGGCGCCTGCTCAAGCTCAGGATAGCGCTCATAAATGATTGCTTACATGAGCACCCATAGATTCTCAATTAGACCTGGCCCTCACCCGCGGGTGACCCTCCAAACCCTCTACCCGACCCGCCCCGTGGGTGGGTAAGCGACCGAGTTTGTTGAGTATCACGGTGGCTGAGCCTTGCAGCAGGGATCGGAAGTGGATATATATATATGAGGCATCCCTACATGTAAAAACAAGTCAACCAACAATAATCCATCCTTTCTCATTCAACGACACCCTCGATTCTTGAGGTTCACTCTTAGGGTCACCTGTTTCAGCTGGATACTTGCGGAAGTCGTCGGGCGCCTTTGTTCACAATAACCTTAAGGGCCGTACCTAGATATCAGGCAGAGTTAGTAGTTTAAAACTAAGTATACCAGGCGTGAGAGAGGCAAATTCCCGCCTAGGTTATTTAATATTTCAGCAATTTAACATGCAGATATTTTAAAAACCCGAATTATATCTATAGTCCGTTACTTTATATATTTCTATACTGTATATCCTCAGCTATACACTATATCTATAATTAGATCCTTCCTAGGCTACTACGACTAAACTAAACCTCTATAAAACTATCTAAATAGATAATTTCATGACGAAGATAATAGAATACTATGTAATTCTATTGGATTTCGCCGATAGTGTTATTGAAAATATTAGATACGTAGGAACAGGACTAAAACACTAGTAAATAACAGTATTTTCAAGGATAAGTTAGCGGTGGTTATACATCCCAGAAGGGTAAATTATACAAAACCTTTGTTTTGGCGGGTAAGCGAGGGTCTGTTAAGGGTGAACCTTAGAGGTTCTGTTGATGATAGATGGCCTTGAGGGTCGGGTGGAGGTTCTAACATGCTCACCCGTTTTGAGGTTCTGCCGAGGTCTAATCGCACGGTTTCGGGAACTGCCGAGTGTTTAACTCGTAATATATGAGCGAAAGGTTGATAAAGCCTAGGTATTTTGATCATCAGAGGGCCCACCTTGATGATCGCAAGTCATACGTATGTGTAAGAGAAGCCAACGAAATGAAGATTCACCACATCCTCTCTGATTATACCTACCTAGCGCAACGGATAAAAATCGACTGGGATGATTATTGAACAGATCCTGAGAATCAGATATGGGAATAGCTTGAGATATATCAAGTTCCACCGTTGCCATAGTCTATACATACTTGTTGAAGACACTGCATGTTCTATCAATACCAGAAGCCTTTAGGCTGGAAATAGCTTCTGGAAGAGTTATGCGTACCAGCGCGCCTTCCCTTGTAAGACAAGCAACAATGTGATCCAGTGCTTTTGAAAAGGGGCTGGCCACTCCATGGGATATGATTTCCGACAGAAGCTTTCCATATGCCCGTGTATCATTCAGCTGGCGCACCTCAAACGAGAAACTACCAGGTGATATATTGTCTCGAATCTCTGGGGGGCGCCATCCATGTGTAATTCCGCCAACACCACTGATATCAATAAACACCGCGTTTCCGTCTTCATCAATAACGATATTCGATAGCTTGATATCCATGTGGGTTTTTCCGGCGTCATGCAAGGAGTTAACCGCAGTAGCGACTTGCGTAGTTCAACGTCTCCATGTATGTTCTCTCACGCGATCCTCATCGAATAAGCTCTTTGCGTACATCAGGGACAGAGAAAACGGGACCATGGAATGATTCGAGGATTGCCAGATAATCTTGACTTCTGCACTGATACTTGACAAGGATTTGCAGGGATTGGGTCGTCCTGTCCACACCAGTAGAGGTCTCCACGTTCGAGAGAACCGGTGTGTAGGGGTGGAATGAACCTCGCAGGGCATTATGGCGCGGTACATTGTGATCTTCTTTCATATTCCATTCTGAGAGACTATGAACCCGCACCGATCTCCCTGGGCTATATATACCGTAGTTATTTTCTCGAGTCCGGAGACTCCAATGAAAGAATCCAGATCTATAGACAATGGCCGAAGAACAGAAGATGACCCGCACACGCCACTCCAACAACCCCAAATTAATTCGCCAGAAACAGGCTCGCTGAAGGAACGGTCTCCTCCGAAAGTCCTTCGAGTATTATCGGGGCTGCGATGCCGACGTCTTCATGATGATCAGACTCAACAGCAGCACCCTCGGGGCTGTACTGGACTTTGCAGAAGCGTCTCGGAGATTTCGAACTCACGCGCCGCAAAAGAGAACACTAGGGGAGGGACAGTAGGTGGATCACGCGGCGTTAGGAGCATCGCAGAATCGGACCGTATTGTCTTTGGCTACAGCAGAAGGTGCAATTAGACTGAATCAGCTCGTTTCCCGACTCCAATCCATCATGGGTTTACGCCGCGCTAGGCCTGTCCTCGAATTAATTTGCAAAATTCCCCTATAGTAGGTGTAAGCCGTGTATTCGAGACTTACTAGAATAAGCTGGCGTAGAATTTCTCCTGCTTCTGCATTGTTTCCCTGTCTTCGGAGCATTTGCGCAAGAAAATTGACACAGTTTACCGTAAACTGATGCCTAGATCCCAATATCCTGCGGCTCGTCTCCAAGGCTCGTCGGTACATCGTTTCAGCCTCGGTGTACCTATTTTGGTGTCGCAAGACTCCAGCGAGGTAGTATGCACGCACAAGCGTTGCTTCGTTATCGGCCCCAAGAACTCTATAACTTGCATCTAACGCACGGCGATGGAGCTCTTCTGCCCTTATGTATTCCCCTTGATGCACCAAAGACGATGCCAAGTCAGTGAGGGTCTCCAAGGTAGAGGGATGTTCTGGCCCAAGTAGTCGAGTCTTTTCCGACAACACTTGACTCCACAACTCGGTCGCCTCGCTATGCCGGCCCTGGCCCTGGTGTACTTGGGCAATTCCATTCTGAATGTGCAGGGTCTCTATTTCTTGATCGGGGCTGATTGCGCTTGTTCTAGGACCTATTAGTGTCCCATAAAGATCCATCGCCTCAGCATATCGACCCTGCATCCGAAGATTTCTCGCAAGTCTTCTCGTCCATTGCAGGGGGTCCGGCAGTTCTGGTCCATGTTGCCTCTCTGTGATATCTCTGGCTTGCCTCAAAATCGTTTCTTCCTCTTGAAATCTCTGAGAATCTTCAAGCACCCTTGACAAGGTTGAATAGTAATGTAAGGTCGCTGAGCTTTCAGGCCCATGAAGAACCTTACTAATTTCTACTGCCCGTCTGTTCATCGTTTCAGCCTCTGCGTACTTCTCCTGTCTCCAGAGGAGCAGTGCCAGGATTCCAATGGTGTCCAATAGTATTTTCTGGTTAACTGAATCCGGTACGGCTTCTTCTGCGGCAAGTGCCTTTCGGCAGAGGTTCTCTGCTTCTGAATATTTGGCCTCTGTCTCTAGAACCCAAGCTAGGTCTAGGAGAGCTCTCCTGGTTTCTGGATCATTCGGACCAAAGGAAACCTCGCAAATATCCAATGCTCTTCGGAAAAGGTCTTCTGCTTCCGAGACTCTGCCCTCATCTCTCCTGAGATCTCCCAGAATTCGAATGCTTCCGAGAGAGGATGGATCGCGTGAATTTTGGTCCCTGTCAGCCCTGTCTAACACATGCTGATTAGGAATCTGCTGGCTAGCTGGGTCTGGCGTGCCCGTTGCTGGAAGACCTGCAGACCTCATGGTTGCTTTTTCGGCTAAGGACTGAATGTGGCGCACTACCAACCTGAAGTTTGCACTATCACGACTAGAGAATTTGCATATACCGGAATGGTCTGCGTCAATGCCAAGTACCAACTCGGTTGGGGAGCCGAGCTTCGCTGATGTTCGGTCGACTATCAACTAGATATAACACTTAGAAATAGGTCCGGACTGTTAGAATAGCAAGACACGTACTCTGTTCTGTACCATCGGAAGGAATTTCCTCCGCATTAGCCTTGTCGGTCGCATTTCAAAGAAACTAATGACCCTGTAGTTCCCAAGCTGGGTTCGAAAATCGTCTGTGGTTGCTTCTGTCAAAAGCGAGTTGCGCTCCAGGGCAGGCAAAAGGCTGCTGCTTCTCTCCCCGGTGCAGAAGCTGACTACGCCTGCCACCACCCTGGCAGTGCTGACCATATTTCCGCCCTGGTGAGGCGTTGCGAAGAAAATAATCCCGTATGTCGCTCGGCGAATATGTCCGTACAAGTCATCCAACACTATAGCCGTGACAAGAGCCTACACAAATCGTCAGCTATAGGTCGATACTCCATCCTACCAGATTCGCAACCTTACCTGCTTGACTACGAGTCCTCCCAGCGAGTGACAGATGAATATAATAGGGCGATTTCGCTGGTACTGCGATCTTTGGTCAATCCCAAGATGCACCATTCACCCTTGCATCTTGCCCATCGTCTCACCTCTTGGGACCTCACTCCATCAAGCCTGTCAAGCAGTGTGTTTGCATGGTTCCTAACGGTTGCCTCGGCCACATTAAGGAAAGTGTTTGCATTATACCCGAAAAGGAGTATCCTCGCGTTGGGAATATCATCCGGAAGCCAGCTCTCAGGCCAACAGACTCCAGCTTCATTTGACCAGGTTTGCATGGCATGTTGCGCTGCCCCTCTCGGGTTAAGGCCATGAACAAAAACAATGCTAATCATGAACACGGATTAGTTCCAACATATACTGTGGACACGGTAAACGGAATAGATGAGTATACTCTATATGGGACTGCTGGTCGTTCCCGTTCGTAGGGTAGAGGACATTTAAGAATTCCTATATCCGCCTGTTAATTCCATCTGGACGACCATAGGCAGCTTGAGCGACTCTACCATTTGAACTCAGAAAGAGCGACGACTGTGTATGGGTCTCGGGGAAAAACTCGTAAGCTTGAGGCAGAGAGACAGAAAGATACAAGGGGGAACGAGGGTGTATTGAGGCGGAGCTGAAGCACCCCCCTCATGGCTGGATTCTCATATAACAAGAGAGAACACGAAGACCCCACTGTCAAGTTCACCACTGAACACGCCGGAATTCATTTTGGACTCCGCTGCCAAGGCGCTAGACGGGTTGGCTGCATAGTAGTTAATTTGGGGTGTCCCTATCAATTCCCACAGAGAGGGAATAGCTTATGTAAACACGGACCCATGTTCGCTCAGAGCGTCAGTCACCATGTAATTCTGCACTGCCCTGTAACTGTCCTGTGGCTGTTGTCGGGACGGTGTTTGATCACAGAACATGTAGACGCTCAGTGCTGTCGATTGGCTGCTGAGTGATTGAATTAGTAAATTTTAGAGAAAACCCGATAACCACATACCCCCAATGACGAGACAGAATATAGTTAGACTGAACAGGTTTTGAAATCGTGTATACAGCTATATAATAATGACTGTCTGCGTGCACTGAACACGATTCCAATCATCCGCGTTCACCGAAAACAGGCCAACCCGTCGATAAACAGGTCGCTCAGCAGCCTGGTCGTCCAACGGACGACGCAGCGGAAATACTGCACCCAAAGCAAGTACAAGTCCTGTCACAGTGGCTTCCCTGACGCCCCATATTGCTCTGTCGGTTTTTTGTGGAACCACGCCCTCGGTATCAAGAATGGTCGCCAGCAGCAGAAATTCATCGCCGACAGAAATACCTAATGTTTCATAGTCAAGGTGGTCCGGCCAGAAATCAGCTGTCAAAGGGCCGGGATCAGAAGACACGGCGCCATAGGTCAGAATCTGCTCGCTCTTGTATCCGTGAAGAGGATCCGTGGGATCTCGTTTTCCCAGCCACATAGCTGAAACCGTCAGACCGCGTACCGTCAGAGATGCCGTAACCTTGGGGGGGCCATAACGGTTCAAGGGGTCGGCGGTGCAGCTCGCATCGACGCGACCAAGGAGAGATTTTCTGGCCATCTTCGCTTCCAGCATGCCGTCCTTGCGCACATGGGAGACCTGGTCCTCTTTTTTCATGTCCAATCGCCCTATTCGGAAGGAAATGGGTCCAATGACTGACGCCCAAGACCACGAAGGAGCGTAGTATGTCGTGTGGCGCCTGGCTCGCGTACCAGGCGCGCGCGTCCGTCTCAAAGGTGTCGATCTAAATGGCCGCGGCGCCTTTAGAAACTCGTAATTCATGTCGTCCGATCTGGGAACGTCTACGTGCCAAAGCAAAAACTCAGCCAAGTTCTTCTTCCAGAGACCGCATAGATAGTCGGTTTGCACAACGGCACCCATATACTCAGCAAGGCCCGAGAGCGCATGCAGGATATCGGTACTGTATGTCAGCTCTCTCCGGGTAAACTCTTCCACAAAGTTCATCCACAGCAGTATGTCCACCTGGGGAGAATGGTAGGCTTTCTGCCGCTGGGCGTCGCGCAGGATGCGATCGACAAACAACGCCTTGAATCTCGACTCCCTGTCATGGTGCGTAATTATACACTTGCACTCACAGGCCACTGTCTCAGGACATTCCCAGGCGAGTTCCGAAGGCCCCAGATGCAGGATGCGTGGAGCAAGCACTCTCTCCTGAAAGCACCACCCGCGCTTGTTCAAAGTCGTCCGCGATTGGCCGTTTGCTGATGGATCGGTGTGGTCTCCGATTATATGGCCGACTTCTGCGTGGAATGCGTCGCGCAGGTTGGTAAGTCGAACAAAGGCCTTGACTTTACTGAGACCCGGCCCTAGAGAGTGCACCGCATAGCTGAGGCTCTGCTTGTCGATGCCCGAGCCAAAACACCCGCCATTTGGATCGGCTGAGCGGTTTGCAGATATCATCGCATAGCAGTCGGCATAGACGCCCTTCATCCTCGCAGCCTCTCGAGCCCAATCATCTCTATCATCCTGGATGATGCAAAGCGCGTCTATCCAGAGATACTCGACACCCAGACTGCGTGTGATGGTGACAGCATCCTGAAAAGTTTTGGGGAGAACTTTAAAGGGAATCTCTCGGAGCCGCTTCGAAAGAATTACGGTCGTCGTGGTCAACGGACTGACACCGCCCCAGCAATGACTGAGGGTTATGTACCTGGCCCTCTCGCCTTTACTTACGTAGAGGTGTGGTTCACCCGCCGACGGAATTCGTATCACTCTAGTAGGTAATTTCCCAACTGTAAAGTGACATTGAGTATGATTGGTGGTACATTTTTGGAGAAGGCCTTTGGTAATGCTGACACGAGCATCAGTCCAGCCCTGTACCGATACATCTCTGCCAGTGCCAACCACAGGCCACGTCGCGCTGCTCCCTAACAAATATGGGTTAACGTTGCAGTTCACTTCTGCCATTGTAGGGTAAAGTATTACCCTCATTCACATATATTTCGATTCGCCTTGATGGAGTCCCTATCGGTACTCCGTTGTGAAAATGGACGAGAAGTGGCGCCCCCTGTGCTCGCGAAGTAAGGACCAAGAAATTGCCCGACATATTGCGCCAGACCCCTTCACCATACGCTGCGCGGATCTGGGATAGGCAATCGAGCAGGAAGCGACAGCCGCGGCAGCTATTGACAGCTGACTCTATCTGCGCCATGCCAATAAAGTACACCAGCTCTGCATCCCGTGGCATCCCTCTTCGAAAGTCCAAATCATGGCACACTCTGCAGGCAAAAATGCCTGGAGGCTCTTGGCTTGCCTGAACTTTCCGGGTCGCATTCACGCTGGTTGCACCAGCCATGAGCCTCGCCTGGAATGAGGCAGAAGTGTCCTCCTCCTCCTTGTATCGCCATTCCGGGAACAGTTCCGAGTTGGGCTGCGAGCCGCGTTGACTCTTCGCACTACGGAGCAGGTCGTGGCCTTTCTGCAGGTCAGGATCCTTGGATACCCATGAATTTGGGTCTTTCGGGATCTGAGGCTCTGGATCCGCCCCTCGTCTTAACAAGTAAACCACGGCATCATAGTGCTTGAAGTGGAGAGCCAGAAACAACCCAGTTATACCATGGTCATCGACTTCAATGATGGGGTATCCCCTTTTATCAAGCATCTCGAGGATCTTGATGCGATTTGTGCCAGCGGCCGCAATGGCAAGATTGAGCTTCGTCATGTGATCCATGCGATCCGTGTATCGGTCTAGAAACCACTCAACCATTTCCTTTTTGCCGTGGATGACTGACATGTATATGGCATTCTGCTTTCCATCGAACTTTGCCAGCGGATCCATACCATGGTCAATTAAGACCGAGACTGCCTCAATCTGACCTTTCTGCGCTGCAACCTCCAAGGCAGTCTGGCCGTCGGGAAACTTTGCATTAATGTTGGTGCCATATTTGATGAGCTCAGTGATGGCTTCCGTGTTTCCGTATTCAGCTGCAATGTGCAAGGCCGTTTGCCCGATTGGATTTGTACCTGCAACATTTACATCGGCCCCATAGCGAATAAGGAGGGCGAGCATTGAGTTGTGAAACCATCCGACTGCCATGTGCAGGACGGACTCTCCTGTGCCAACCTCACAGGTGGTCCTGGCCTTTGCATCTGCACCCGCTTCCAGAAGTAGCCTAACCACGTCCTCATTCCCCGCGGCGATGGCAATGTACAGTGCCGTCAGCCCATTGCATCTTGATTCCAGGCTCGGCTTATATTCCAGTACAGCTTCCATCAGAGCTGGATTCAGCGTCGTTGCTGCCATGTGCACGGGCTTTGATTGTATGGGGCCATATGGGCTCTCAATATCGGCGTTGCGAGCCAAAAGAAGTCGTACAGTATCGACATGACCTTCTTTGATGGCTAGGTGCAAGGCTGTTGCGTTTTTGTCATCAGTGTGGTCCACGGGAACGCCCCGATCAAGGAGCCAGCGAACGGTCTCTGTCAATCCCTCGGTGGCTGCATCATGAAGAGAAATTCCCGGACTTGTCGGCTCGTTCGTGTTTGTGGCACTTAGACCGCCCTGGGGACGGGCTGGAGAGGACGTTTCGGAATGGTCAGAACCGTCCCTGGATCCTGACCGGGACCGGTGGACAAGTCGTCTTATGAGTCTCATTGTTAATAGGCAGCGAGCGTTTAATGATAGCCGATCCCGATCGAAAAGCGGACTCTGGGATATTGGAGTCAAGAGTCGATGGGAAGCCTTTTGGCTGGGAAGATGGACAGTCAAGGAAGGGGGGGGAGACAACACGCGTACAACACTCTCGCTTAAAATACAGTCCATCATTCAAAGGTTTGACCAACATCATGTGAAATGCCCTGAAACGAACGAAGTGAGAGGAAGGGTTTACCTTCGTGCGCAGGGTCTACCCTTGTTTAAAAAAACCTTATCTTTGATGTTGCTGTTAGCCAAATTCTGCTTCCTTATTCGCCATCTTCTTTTCTGCCCTCTTCTTATTCGCTGTCTCTTCTTTCCACCCCTTGTTTGATTGCACGCTGACATGTTGCCATCTTCGGTTAGGCTCTGACGGGCTCGCTACTAGTCCATTGGCCTTTCGTGCTCGTATACTTTCTTGCACTCATCTGCCCGCCCTACATGCTATCCTTATTCGCTACTCCTGCTCTTCTGTTACTTGCATGCTTTTGCGACGCACTTCTTTCAACACCTCTTTTAATAGGTTGCCTGCCTGCATGGCTTCGTATATTCTGCAGCATCACTGCCTTCATGTCCTCCCCACTTCCCCTCCAATACTCATGCCCAATATAGCCCTCTCAACCTCACTTTGTTTCTTCCGATATTATTGCCTACCGGTTTGCGTTTGTGTTTGCGCTTTTCTTATCTCATGCTGTTGGCTTTTCTTTCCCTCTGCATTGCTATATGCTCTTATAATCCTCGTTGTCTCCCCCCGATTTCCTCTCTGAGAATATCATTTGACTTTATATATTCTCTTCCGTCACGTCGCCAAGGTCCACGTATCCCACAAATCTTCGACCACAAGCTCACGACTTGCTCCTCCAGCCAGATCAGACTGCACAGATTCCATTTCCTAGCCTTGTTTTCTATGATCGAGACATGCCAACTGTGATGCTTACGAACGCCTGCTCGCCACTTGACCAGGTCAAGATTTCCATCGAAAGTACTGCTCCCTTTATGTTCAGCTTTAGGTTGAAATCTTTTCTAGGCCTTCACTTACTCCAAGCGATCACCTCTGACAATCTTCGCTTTTCACCCAACCCCGATCTGCTCATGGAGATGGAGAGATTGCGTGATCTACAAGCGAAAACACTGGCCACCTGGTCTCTATCGCTCTGATTGGCTCGCTTTGCTTCATATGATATACATAGTGCTTAATATTGCCACAGCTTCCGCCCACTTTTTCACAAATGCCACGCGACACAACGTTTCAGGGCTTACAGCGTGCCGCAGCGCGCGTCCCCCAGTGAACGAGCCTGCGAGAGCGTACGCAAAAGACTTATGGTGTTTTGCTGTAGAGAACTTCCTTCCACGCGCTCTTCTGATTGGCTTTTTGAGTTACCTCTTTCGGTAAAGTGCTGTTGTAGGTTAGGGTTCTAGGGCTTCATATGCAAGCAAGCAGGTCATGATTGCTCCAATATCGCATCTAATGCAGCTAACATCCTACCAGAGCATGCAGAGTATTGCCACGCCAACATCCCATGATACGCTCCATTTGCTTCCGGAGTCTTGACGACTCTCATCACAACGTGGGCGCGCTTGGTATAACCCTCGAAATTTCCTCCTGACTTGCTGCTTATCACGTCCCTGCCAAAGTTTCTAGCTACCCAGAGTAGCCAAATATCCTGCCAGAGTTGTACCATACGCAGCTGTAATAATTACAACGTGTATGCTTTACCTGCCCTCATGTGTACCGTTGGTTTAGCTACAGGCTAGAAGTGCAAGTGTGCAGACGATTCATGCTCTTCATTGAAAACAACCAGCAGCTTCAGATAATGACAGAACATACACTTGCTACTTACGTTACCTCAAAGTTTACCCTCCAGCTTTTCGCAAACGCCTGGGGAAACGAGTAGCGTAGTAGACATAATAACCTACCTGTGACACTCATCCAAGTCCGCTTACGAGTTCAACCTAGGTCCGTCTCATTTTTATTCCTTCTATCGGGACGCGCAGCCTTAACTATAACCCAGCCAAAGCGTGTAAGTATATGTCTATTTTGATACAGAGAGCCGGATTCACACGGATAGATATATGTTACGACACCCTTGTCAGTCAACTAGTTGAGGGCGGCCACGCCAGGCAGAACCATCGGGCAACGACAACCAACCGAACCCCGCAACAAAGAGATGCCCGCAACTTGCCCGCTGCTCAGCCCGCGGCTCAGCGATCAAGACGTGAGCACTAAACCCGATCGAGCAAGCCACGAGAAAATCAAGTCTATATGTACCTGTACGTACTTGATTTTCTGGGAACCACCAAACCACCCAATCAGGCACAACACGTGACCAAGTGATAGCACGATCGCACGATAGCAACATCGCAACGCTCGACCAAGTGCTATCAAGCTATCATCATATCGAGCTACCACATCTACCACCACTGGAGCAAAGGGATATAAGGACATTCATTACCATGTACTTAGATTAGTTCTTCGCGTTCAATACAACTGTCATTGATAACCATATCGTTGTCACTGCTAGTACGATTCGTCCATACTCTATCACAAGCGGATATACGTATCCGGGCCTTGCTTCTATCTTTGCTGCTTGGGTCTTAGGACCATTGTGTTAGTTCTCCAGAACCTTGACGTTGTTCTCAGGAGTCGCCCCGCTCCCAGGATAAGTATCGTTACCTCTTCGGACTAGTGGATTCTAGTCACCCTCGTGCTTGAACTACTACACTAGCTGGTTGCGCAGCTTAGACGGATCCCAGGGTTTGACAGACCCCTGAATTTTGGAATTCAAATACAGGCTGAGAGCCCCGCGCAATAGTCCAGTCCGCGACCAGAGCATTGTCGTCCAGCTTCTCGATGGGACACCTATCCATGTATCCAGTGGATAAGAACTGTTGTCAAGTAAGTTAATATTATACTTATCTTTTATCTAGATTGGGAACGCAGGGAAAGGAGAGCTCACATTTGGCTGCCAGGACTGTGTGAGTATGAGACCCTGAGGGTCATTGGGCAGCGTGTCCACAAGTGCATTGAACTTGGCAGCACTTGTGCCTGGCGTAGCGAAGATGGCGACGGGGGTTGTTGTAGCTGTTGCCGTGCATGTTGATGAAGTTGGCGTCGTGCTTGTCCGTTTCCTCCCCATCGCCGCCGCCCAACCCCCCAAAGGGCCCATGGATGGCCCGTTAATAGACCACAGAAGCCCATTTCCAGCCCATTCGGCCCTAGAGACCTCATAAAATATTAACCAACAGTCCAGGACCCAGGGGGTCACAGCCTAAGTACAACGCAGATCATAACATTTCTGTCCAGACGATAAAATAGATGTAATTCAGTCATATATGAGGCAAGAGGGTATACTAAAAAATATCCGGCCTTAATCGAGATTTGGAAAGAAGTTGTCTGCGGTATAGAAGGTCATTAGTGGGCGGCTGTGCGGTATATAATTGCTTATGTAGAGGATATATTATCCTCCATGGAAGAACAATTCTTCTCTCAACAACGAGCGCTTGAAACTGTAGAAAGTATTTTTTTCTCTGTAGTAAATAATAAAGAACAAGGGATTATTATTCTTATTTCGGAGTGGTTTCCTACATTTTCCAATTTCTAGGTGATCAGTTACAGCATTCTTATGAGGAGAACCAGAACGGACGCAAAAAACCGTTATTTATTTATTTAATTAGATTATTAAGCCCCTTTATGAACACCAAGACCAGACTTTTATGCAACAATGGGCTTTGTCGGGGACCCATCGGGGACCCATCGGGGGGCCGACATGGGCCGAATGGTCGGGCTTGGGCCTAAAAGTTGAGCCACGGGCCCACGTCGGGTCGGGCTTTGGACCCAAGGGTTGAGCCCACTGTCGGGCTCTGAAGATGTCTACACCTGCCTGACCTGACCGCCTATCTGACCTGACCACCTATCTATATATTCTCCTTATACATTGAACCATTACTTTCCTAATGATGTTTGAGCCTCACAGAGCCTGTGTTGGCATAATTGCCTGGTATTCTGTTCTGCGGCCTCCCTGCCGCGCAACTTCAAAATCTCTAGGACGTTCCAGCAAAGTCTAATATAGGACTCTAGGGCATTACTATCTTGTCTACTGTCTTGTAGCTTATCTTCTATACTTTATGATTCTCCTAGTGTACTTGAAATATTCCTGAATACGCCTCAGCTTTTTCTCTATAATTCTTGTCACAGGCCTCTGAGTTTTGGGCAGCCTACTGGAAGGTAGAATACTGTCTCTTGAGCAATGCAAATACATTTGTTATTGTTTCTGTTGTGATTCGAGGCTCGACCAGGTAAAGAATAGAGCTTCGTATACGAAATTTATTCTGGATACAAGCAGATTGATTGGAAATCAATCTGGTATCTATCTTGTATATATAAGTCCTCAGTATCTCGGATGTGAATACTACCAAACGAATCTTCCTCTGGATCACAACAAAGCGACAGCACCAACTTGACTGTCTGACGAACGCGCGTCTTATCCACGAGATCCAGCAGTGGACGGACGTCGCGGCCCATGCACAGGCGGAGCAAAACCCCACAGGTTGGACGAGCCGTTACCAATCATCCTGTGCTATTCACATGGGATCTTATGCCGCCGCGATCCCACGACGTGCCATTATCTGGTTTCCAGCATGAAAGTGATGCGGACCCATTGGCAGCGCGTCCATCAATGGTCCCAAGCACCCAGAGCCCGGACGGGACCGGGCTGCACAGGAGACCGAGCTGCAGTGGTCGTACGAGGTTGTCTCCTACCAGCAGCTGTTCCCGTCGTGCGTCGGCTCGCATTACATCCACATCTGCTTCCCGTACGGCTGGGCGTTGCCGCCGCCGCCGCCGCCGCCGCCGCCGCCAGACCCTGGCGCAGCAGGCGGTCGATGCGGTCCTCCAGGCGTGGGAGCGGGCGGAGGCCGCCCGTGGCCACGGCCCCGTCGAGGCCACCGATCCCTATGACGCGAACCCGTGGCTGCGCATGATGCGGAGGGCCCAGTATCTCAAGGGGACCCCGCCGGCCGACCTGCTGCGCAGCGTCGAGGTGCCCGACCCCGACACGGCAGACCCCGTCGAGCAGGGGGTGCAGGTACTGTACGACACAGTTGACCAGTTGGCGTGGAAGAGCTAGCGGACGGGGCAGCATTGCGGGCCGGCGATCCGCATGGAGGCAATGCGCACGTAGGCGTGCGGGCTGCCACACCGGCCGTTGCTGGCATGCATGAACGCGAACAGCGTGCGGAAGCACGTCCAGCCGTGCCAGCAGATCCTGGCGTCTTTCGCGCGCACGCAGCACCTGCACGGCCAGCAGGCGTGGAAACGCCCCGTGTACCACCACCGCGCGGCTGCAGAAGTGGGCGCGGCTGTGGCAGCTGGTGCAGCACCCCGAGCCGCAGCCGGAGCTCCCGGCGGTCGACGAGGCGCTGCAGCTGCGTCTGAGCGGGCGTGCCTAGAGTTTTGCGTGGAGCTGATGAACCATCGCCGCCGCTCCCATGAGAACGAGAGCGTGCTGGTCTGCGCCATGGCCGTGCTGGGTCGTGGGGTGGACGGTTGGCGCGACGCGGACAGCTACCCCCCATCCTATCGCGGGTGATCAAGGTCGCGCGGTTCTTCGTGGTCGAAAAGGCGCTGTAGCTCGATCCCGCGGCGCTACAGATCGTGGAGATATGGCAGACGCAGCAGACGGCGGGGCCGTGGGCGCTGCAGAGCGCGGACGACGAGCTGGCCGATGTCGACGAGGGATACGCGAGCGGGTCGACCGCGAATAGCCCCGTGGCGCCACTCATCGAGGGGGAAGTTGGCGACGACCTCCCGGGCAACGACCCTCCGTCACTAGACTCTCCCAATATTCAGTCGCTGCTGTGGGCCTGAGTGGTCCACTACCTTCCGTCAGCCAATCGGACCGACAAGTATTCCTGCATGCCCAATACAGAGAGAGTAATCGTACAGGGGTGCTCTTTCTATCTTTTCTCCCACCAGGTTTTTAGTCGCTTTACCAGTCCTAGTTGATTCTCCCTAGTGCAGCATCACTGCACAAGCACGGCACCCATGAGGGTGCATGTTACCAATCTTCCTTTGACTCACAACAGTGGGCTATATACTTGGATCTCAATAATTACCACACTGTTTTATTCTATACAACCTATGTTGGGTCATCCATACGACAAAAACTACAATGTTCTTATAATTTCGTCTGTTGATTCTTAAATCTTAGTCCGCTGTTATAATATTGCTTGCAAACGAATTCACAGAGAAACCCTGTAAATCTACATAACCTATTCATTGCGAGCGAGTCACTCTTTCTCTTTGCTTGTCTTGTTTGTGGACACTGAGGGTCACCCGCGGGTAAGGGCCGGGTCTAATATAGCACACCAATTCGACCGTTGATTTAGGGCTGCCAGGACTATGATGCAAATTTAAGTAATAACTGCCTAGCGCGGTTAACTTACTAGTAGCCACGTTTGGTAATGGGATATCTATGAAGGTCTCCCAAGGAAGCAGATGCAAAGGAGAATCATCGGTATATACAGGAAAATGGCCGTAGTAATAATGCCCATGAACGGGGCTAAGCCAGAAAGCACAGAGTTCCAAGCTGGGAGCATAGCACAGAACAAATAGGCGAGCCGGCAAACTCGATGCCTTGTTTTCTCACCCAATATAAAGCCTATCAATCTCAAACTTGGCTGGCTGCCCGGGCAACCTCCCTGGAGTTTCCCAACAGCGCCAATCAGGGGAAGAAACATTAAACAGAGCATCTGTTGGTAGTAGACGGGCTTAGAAGCCACGCCTATTTACAGGGATATTGACTCGATCCCTGTACCTGTACGTAATGTTGCTGCTGCATTGACGATACATAGCATGGCAGCTATGTATAAATTGTCTTGAACCAAGGCCTCTGGTATAAGTTGTGATTAGGGATATTTATCACCCGGCTCAAGACTGCATGTTCATCGCCAGGCCATGCATGTGGATCCGCCTCAGGACCTCGTAGCATATGCGTCGCTTGGGGTTCAGACCCATCTTGTGTCAAGCTTTGTTGGACAGCAATACGCAACGAGTCGGGTTGAGCAAGGTCATTCGACTTAAATGCACCTTCGCTAAGTTCACTAATCGGGCAGCTTCGAGAGATCATCGGACTTCTTATATTCTGCGACAGCGTATGAGGTTTCCGCGTTAGCTTTGGCAATAAGACGTGAGCGAGAAACCCTACTAACCGAGGTAAGTCTCCACCACATTCAGAATGGGTGAAAGTAACAGCAGCACCGGTACCCACTGCCCAAAGCTCTAGAAATTCTCTTCCAGTATGGGCTGGCCAGACTCAGGCTGAGAGCGTTCTACAGATGAAGGCGCGGCAAAAAGCCGTACAGTCCCCCAGGATAGTGAAAGAAAAAGCCAAGACAACTACTGGATCGTCAGCGTTTCGCAAAACAGCAGAGGTGTAGAGCATTGAGTCCGTCAAACCAAGGATAGCCTTGGCCGCGATGAGAATGGCAAAGGCGACGAGGGTGAGGAGTAGACATGTTTTTCGCCTCCACCCAGTAGAAGCCAGCGCATGCCGACCGAATGGATCGACCATGTTCATCCAACCCACCCCTGGCTTCTTTCTTAACCACAATGCGGTGAGGGATCTGCTCCACCTATAGGATTTGGTGACTTGGGAGACAAACGTTGTCACCAAGACAACTTCAGAAAGTAACGTGCCACCAAACTCACCGGAAATGGACATTGAAAACGAGGACACTGGGTTGCCATCTGCTCGGGGAAAACAGCAGCTAGCTGGCGCTCCAGGAAGAGTTCCGCATGCATCCCTCGTTTCCAGTCGGTATAAGAGCAGCAAAGAGCATGGCAACAAGGCAAACCATCAGCGGAAGTTGCAGGCGTAGAGCGCCCTCATGATTCCGCACGTACATTCGAAGGAATGTCAAAGTGGATAAATGCGTAGTAGAGGAAAACCAGAAGGCTGATAAACCGCATCGGAGTTGGGTGTACCCACTTATAAGGATAGCTATACCGGTTACGGGCTGTTGGTCGCTCATCATCAGAATGTACTTGAGAAGAAAGCGTCAGCGCTGAAATGAAACAGCGGAAGTGTAGAGAGCATACGGTCTTCAAAATAGCGGACCACAGGAGCGAGGGTAAGCCTTTCCTCTTTTTCCATATCCAGGTCAAGATGGCTTCATCAATTGGACTAATGTCTGCTCTCGAATGGGAGGCGTGAGAAAGGGGCCCTCCAACATATCGCACCACGAGGAGCCCAAATGTGATATAAGCTGTGCCGGCAAGTTCTATCAGCACCTGTAACACTGAAGTATTCAGATCACCTACCCCAATTCCGGAAACATCCTGATTAGGTTCCAATGCAGAGCCCTCTAGGAAGAATGAGCAGTTGGCTGGCTGACACGACATTTTATGAAATCCGGACTGGTATACTTGTCATTTGCAGGTAGGTGGTCCCCCTTTTGAAAGGCCAAGTGCACTTACCTCGGTTTTTGGAGCGTTCTCGTAAAGAATGTATTTCAGCCTCGTCGCTGGGGCGTGTGCCGGGTATCCCGAGTGATGAAGGCACAGCCTACTACTCTCGATTCGAGCCTTGTTCAATTCGACGCATAGGATATCCGTGTTCGGAAAATGGTGTCCAGCAGGATGACGCTAACTAGATACAAAAGCTATATATCGTTCTCTCGCTGGAATCGCTCTAGAGTCTCCGAATCGTCATGCCCTCTGCAGTCGCTAGCCGCCAAGCACAGCGCTTCTGCCTTCAAGGCTGCTCTTCATTAGAAGCGTGTATTTTGCGCATCTCTTCACCAAGCCAAAAAAAGGTACCGACTTACTAACAAGGAAGGTTGACCAAATCGCATGAAAACAAAGAACGCTACTTCACTCCGGCTAATTTATCGCGAACCAGTTCAATGGCGAAATATTGCGCCTTGGCGAAAGATAGTGTCAAGATTTCCCCGGGGGAGCCGATATATAGTTCTCGGGTCTTTATCATTGTGGTGGCCTGTACGTGGCCCGGAGAATAGAGCATCGTGTCTGAAAGGCCTACAGGACGTGGCTGATGTTTTTCATGAAGATCGAATAGGAGATTGATGAATTGCTTCTTTCGTGTAGGCATCCCATTTCGGAAGTGGACGATGATGATCGGTGGAAGATCTTCTGTACAGCCGCGCTCGGCGTTCCAGCCATGGTCTCGAAAAATTAGAGAAGTCTGGAACAGGGATGTTTCAGCCTCACGTGTCTCCAATTGGCCCCCCGCATTCCTGTCTCTAACAAGTGCTGGAGACACGGGGGCCAAATCATAAAAATAAGGGCATATAGTAATACGCCCGATTACTTCCGAAAAAGAGGCATTATCCAAATGTTAGAATATATTTTAGTTTCTCTATACTAGATCTGTCATGTGCGTATAGGATATTGAAAGATTCCTACTAGCTTATTATTTGATAGCAGAATATTATTCCACGTTAATAGTAGTGATTGTTGGGACTACCAGGAAAACAGGCTGGTCGGGGAAGACTTCCTATGTGTCAACCTTGGATGATACCGGTAAACCGCATTCAGTATCTTGAATTAAATTTGCAATCTGGAGAGGTACGAATTGCAGCGCTAGTGGCCGGAGAGTTCGTACTTTTGTTTCACTTTCATTGTCCCTTTGACAGACCTACCGGACTGTTATTATATATTCGGGTCAGATAACTATTTGGTAAAAAGGTGACGCTTGTTTGGTTGCATGGCGTATATGAACTGGGTGTCGAGTCGACACTATGGTATACAGCGAAAAGATGGGAAATACGACAGACCGGAAGAGTGATGGGAGCGATACGGTGGCGGTTCAGAGGATGTTTCCTACGGTGGGCGGCCCAACCGAGCTAGTGGCGGATAAAGTGCGCGTTCCTGCCCCAGTATGTATGCGGGCGGAGAATGTATGGGCAGCGACGCATGTAGGCTCTATAATCAACAACACGAACATCACATTGGTTGGAATTAATGCGATTCAACATGGAATAGATTCCTTATACGAAGCCTTGACCGAGCCTCAATTCACCGCATGGATTAATGCAGGGACTAGAGCGGAGTCTACTGTGGACTCCTAACCAAGATACTTAACTAGATTCTCAGCCGCAGGACGAGGCGACCGGCAGGAAGGGAACCCCGGTATGGAGGCCACGACAGGCATTGTCGAGGCTCAAAGTCCGTCTTTATGGAACAGTACATGTACGGTCGAGGAAAAGACCGATAGCTATACTTGTTGCCTACATATCGCAGACAAGGTGCGCGATGAGCGTATGAATCCAGTCAATCCACAAGTCAATATTGTAACAAGAGCCTAGATTCCGGCAATATCAACCTTACAGGCTTCCAAGCAATGGGGCCAGCTCCCGTCCAAGAGACACAAGAAGTGAACATAACAATTCGTTCAGTGTAGGCCATCCATGGCGCCTGCTAACTGCCGTGTTGTTCTAGTGCTCCAGTTCCGTCTCCAGTGGCATCCACTCACACCACACGCAATTTTTTGGATTTACATTCTCGGGTCCACACCGTGACCGTCCGAGAGAACCCGGTAATTTGTGTATTGCTCGGCGCGACTGGGTCTTGGGGAGCAAAAGCTGGAAGAGCATGGGGTCGTTGATTCTGGTGTACGATGAACAAGTCGGCGTTTCTACAGGGCCGCTGACGAACGATATTGTGCAATATGTGGGTTAAATCTTCTTTCTGTGTCTGGTGTATTAGTCTATATACTAACTCGGCTGACATCCGGCGAACCCTACCCGGACACCGACGAGGAGGCGAAGAAGCAGATCCGGGCGTTTGGCATATCTTGGCTGGGAACACTTCTCGCCATGGCCGTTATTGTCGTTTACCTCGCCAATGTGCATGCACTGTATGGGGATGCTAACTGCGTTCAGTCTCCAAGGAAGGTGAAAATTAGTCACCCGTTGACGGGTAAGCGGCTGTTCATAGAAATACATTTATGTTGATTACTCGTTGTACCTCCGCTCTATATACGACGTTATGAATGGTCTTCGGTCAATGGTATCACAAATTTGCTTTTTATATCGAGCCATTTGGCTGAACAATCCTGCATGCCGTGAAGGACTCCGATAGCTCCTAGGACAGAGATAATAGATACACGATATATTACGGGCCGGACCGTGCGCTTGGTCGCCTATATCTCAGCGATGTATATTACGGCAGTCGTCTGCAACAAGCAAGCTGCAATTGAGGTCCGAGATATATGTCAGAATACGATATCAAGAGCAGAGGGCAAAACACATTGTAAAAAAACAAGCATTTGGTTACACTCAAACCAGTAAAGTTTCCATCTCCGCTGTATGGTCCTGATGAGGAGAGCTGAACAAAACCCCTCAACGGCGTGATACACTCTCCCTGAGTTCCAGAATATGGCTCTTAAGGGAATTCATCACGACTTCCAGGGAACACAGCATGCCCGCAAAGCTCGGCAGCGAGTCCCAACACCGCTCCTGCAATACCCAAGTCTCTGATATCATATTCGGTCCCCAATCTTGCAAAGAGTTTACTTGTTGACTGCTCTGAGCGACCATGGACAGATCCCTCATAGCCACTGCGTCCTTCTGCAGTGGAGCCTTCAATCTGCTGTACTCTTTTTGGAGATCAGGGTTTTGGTCTGGAACAAAGCCGCTGCGCCGTTCCATGAGCAAACTCAGATCATCCAGCTGGATCTCCGAGGGAGTTTGCAAGACCCCCAGTCTCTGCACCTCCTCTCGTACATTGCCAGGGAAGCTCCCGTCTCGTGAGTTCCTCGAAGAGATTATGCAACTCCAGCAAGCTATCCTGATTTCGTTGCAGCTTTCGACTTCACTTCCAGAAACGCATTGGGATTGCTCACAGCGCCCGTTACGTAGCGCGCCAAATGGTCCCCAACCAGTGTCAGAGGATAATGGGCAACAGTCTGTGGCAAGACCGATAGCAACGGCTCCCTCGCGCACACTGCGGCTGACAACGAAGCATATGAATGGAAATCGTCGTTCTTGTGGCCGACTGCGTAGTCGGAAATTCCTCGGATGGAGAGACAAGGAACAACATCTACCACCGCTGCCATTTCCATCTCATGACACACAACATATTCTCGGTCGTCATCTTGGAACGCTCGCCGATGGTCCCCTCATGCTGCAAGTTAGATATATTTAATGCTGTACCTCTGGGCCATTTGGCTATCGGGAGGCTCAAGGGTGGCGGCTTAAGATTATCAGTCGCTAGTGATATGGCGGCATTGGCAGCTGCAGCCTTCGTCATCTGCAAAAGCAAAAAAGCCTGGCTAGCTGTACTAGGAAACCTCCACGATCACCACCTAATGCTGATACTTTGGTCCCAGAATGCAGCTGGCGGTGAACCTAACGTTCAAGACATGTCTGAAGCCTAGAAGATGCCATCGTCTTTCCGATCTACGACGTGCAGTAGTCGGAATAGCCCTCGTACTCCATGACGCTGCCCAAAACTGGCTAGGATCAAGGGAGATGGAAGGTTGATAGTTTTTTTTTTCCCCTATCAGTCTCCGTGTTCTTAATATACTAAGAGTAGTAAGTAGTTAGTGATTGCCGAGATGATGTCAAGGCTCCGACCACAATACCGGGCATGCGAGATACATATGTAGGCTGTCAGTGGGAATAAACGGCAGGGGATGCTGTTTAGTTATACGGCAAGTTAATCCAACCGAAGAAGCCACCAGGTTACCCAGAGCCGACCGCTGATACCAATGGCATAGCGTATAGTTGTGATGATCGTGGCAGTTCTGTCGCGGATTTCCGTCAATCGCCCTGTCCAGATACTGATCGAGCTCCTGACGACATGGCTCCTGGAGATATCTCTGGGCCCGCTTCTGCTCTGCAGCCGTAGGGTTTCGCAGCTGCGCCGCCAGCTCATCCCATCCCGACGGCGGGGTCGGAATCGCCGTACTGACCTGCGTGTAATCCAGTAATGTCCGCGAGGTCCTCGACAGATGATACAGTGGCTGCACTGCCTGCTGCAGGTGCTACAGAAATCGCTGGACGATCGCTTTCTCTAGCTAAGCATGGCACAGCGGCAGCATGAATAGCATGCTCTTCCCATCTTACTCTTGGTATCACTGCCACCACCGAGCTCCCGCACCCCTGGATTGTCTGCACGGAGGGCCTTGCACCCTGCGCAGTTGGATGTCCGGCTGCCACAATATCTGCCGCCACACCTGGTATCCCCCGCTGCCTTCTCCCACGGCCTTCTTCCCGAGGATACTAAGCACGTTTCGCCGCCTGAGCAGATGCAAACTCTAAGAAGCGATGCCAATTCTCGCTGTTGAGCCGAAACAGCGCCTGCCGGGGTGCCATCGTACCCTCCGCCTCCATAGCCCACCGCCGTGCATCAGCTTGGCCAGATGCGACAGGAGTGCCGCCTGGGGATCGGCAATATGTCCCCTGGGCAAGACGGGACCGTACCTTACGGGCTAAATGCCGGATTTCAAATGGAGCCGAGCGATAGAGATTGGGTTCTGGTTGAGATCAGTCTCCGCTGTAACGCGAATTTAACCTTCGGGCCAGATTCTCGGAGCTCTCAAGCGGGTGGTAGGGTGGGGTGGGGGCTGGCTACCCTTAGACCCTCGACAAATGGCGGGACTAGCCAAAAATAGTGAACGAATAGTTTGCCGACCTCCCACGAGAAATAACAGTGGATAAAGCTTCGTGTCGCTACTCACATAGAACCCCTTGTGGTGTGTATAACCAGCGTCACCATCTCCCTTGATATACATATTGTGCCGACGGTTAGTGCCTATGTTCATAGGCTGTACAGGCTGAGTCTGTAGGACTGTTGTAAGTGCCTAGGCACAGGAAGGTACATCTCAGCGTACTCTATACCGTGTATCCCTCCTGACTTTTCCCATAATGTACTTTCGAGCAATGATACGTCATTAAAGAATACCTACCCACCAGGTACTAAGTAGTAGACATCTGTGCTTACTTTTACTTACCTACCGCAAGGAAAGGACAGGATCACGGAAGGCAACGGTCCCATCAGCCTTGGCTTGTACCTCGGAGGTGCCATTGTCCCTAGCAAATTTCCTGCAAACTTTCTCTTCCAAAGTCATGATAACCCATTGAAAAAATTCAACACTCTGGTTACTTTCAGGTTGGAAGTTAAGTGGTATGCAATGCGCGGGTCGGTCTCGGCTCCCCTGCAACCACATGCACCGGTGGCGTGCAACTGCGCCACAAGTGCTTGGGTACATAACTACATTATCTCCGTGCCAAACTCACCCACGCTTACATGCACTTGTCGTTTGTTTATCCCGTTCTGTCATGATCGTCCGTTGCTGCGCAGTACTACGTTCATGCCAAGCGCCAGGCGGTTCCCGTCTGCCTGAGAGAGGCTTGATATGTGGAGCCGATCAAACCAATCGGAATCCAGCAAAAGGACGACTTAGCACGACGAGCGATTAACTACAAGAGCCATAGATATGTATTCACCCGTTCTCAGTACAGTGGCTGAAAACCGTCTTTTCAGCACAAAACGCACAGTACCAATGGACTAACAAAGATCTCCACTAGCTCTGTCTGATTAGCCAATGAAGTTTCCTCTTGTAGCAGGCTTAGAAGTCAAAATTCAATGTCTGTCCTTTCCACCCTCGTCCTCCCCCAGTTATCCGGAGCATCGGTCTCTTTACCCGTGTGGGAAAATGCTTAATATATTTATTTATTTGCTGGACAAGTGAACCGCTTTTTGTACGCTTTTAATTAGCTCCCTCCTTTTTTATTCTTCCTGGATTATGTAGACAATATATAACAATAGCAAGTGGGCTGAATGTCGACTGTCCTGCCTCTCTTTGACATTAATATTATTTTATTTTTTCGCTGTTCTGCACCTAGTCACCAAGAGCTGCCTACATCCGGAAATACAAAAGAAATTTATCATCGCTCCGTGCACCAATCCACGGGACCCCTTCAAGGTGCGTCTGCTCCGTATATAAATAAGAAACTATCCCTCGACCTTGATTCTCTTTCTCCGCAAATCTCCTCTCGGTTTTGAGTTACTTCTTTGAAGCCCATCTTCACCACCACTTTTATATACTATTTTGTATTCCAGCCTACTGGATTCTCACAATGGACGCACAGTCGGGAAACACAGCTTGGAGAAACCCAGAGTGCTGGTATGGAGAGGACATATCACTGCCTCCCGATGCTGATAATTCTTTGTCTATTCTCAGCCCAAACCCGATTGACCTTTCATTATTTGGTCAATGCCCGACTGGATTATTTGAAGTGAGCTCTGCAAATGCTCCTGGTACTAGATGTACGGAACCCAACATGGACGCCCTACAGTCCTTATTAGCCGCTTCAACCGATAGCGCAACAGCGAATTACCACCGTCAGATATGTGGGAATGTGGGCGATGATCTAGACCGTTCTGCCCACAGTGTTCCAGCCGCGCCCAGAGACAGGTCTAGAGTAAAAGCCCGCAGATCGCGTCGAAAAAATGTTTCCAAGTCAAAGTAAGTTGTGCATGCGCCTCACTACTTGTTAGATTCAGTGATATTCTGACGATATTATAGATCCGGAAACCAGCGCCTGCAGTGTGGTTGGAACAACTGCGATTACAATGGCACGTTTGGACGCAAAGCCGAGCTGATGCGACACATTGACAGTAAACATGTGAGCCCTGGCGCACACATGTGCCCAATGCCGAACTGTGGAAGAGCTTTTAACCGCAAGGACAACCTAGACGAGCATCTGCGTGTCCATTTGCGGAACTGACGATTCACGGGTCATCCACCATCTCATGGAGTACGGTTCAACAGGACAGATATCGGTATTGGCGAATGGTATATGTGGAGCGTGTGTTGTGCTTTCTAGATTTCATTAGGGCTTCATTCGTGTTCCTCCCGCGCACTTGTCTTTAGCTGCCAGTTTTATATAGAATCGTTGGGCACCCCGGTTGCATCCCTCTAATACATATTTACCGGACTCTGTGGCGCTCCACGCCAGGACACACTGATCGAGCCCGAAGGACATTTTGCTGCTTGGAATGTTTTGGTTTCTTTATTAAGGACTGTTGAAGCGAAATAGCACGCTAGTTTTCCCGCATATCTTCCCATCTTTCTCTACCTAGGCATATACTTCGTTGTGAATCGAGGTTCGATCAAGTAAACAGTAGAGCTTCGTATACAGAATTTATTCCGCATACAACCACATTGGTTTCCGACCAATGTGATACTCATCTTGTATATAAGCCCTCAATTTCAGATGTGAATAAAATCATCTAGTACTATACCTCAATTGCGAATAAGGCCTGGCAGCCTTGGATCCATTCATGACCTCGGCGCACCTGGTCCTTGGTGAGGGCTGGCAGACCCAGCACTGGCCAGGTATGATGTGGAAGGTCCGTATCTGCGCAAGCATCAACAAGTGATCGACCAACTCCCGGGTGTCCCATCTCCATTGCTATCCAAGCTTGAATCTCTATTAACTCCCTGGTGCTCACCTAGATTGGCATTAGCATCCGCACTGTGTTTCAGGAGAAACATGGCCGGAGGAACATGGCCTAGCCGCGCGGCCCCGTCGAGTGGAATCAAATCCTCTGCTTCTATGACAACGATAAGGGCTTTAAACCTGATGCTGCAGACTTGCGTACAAGGCCCATTTGCGATTATGCCTTATGTCATACGCTTCAATAATCACATGCTTCACAGCGCCACTACGGGTATTGGTCCAGACAAGACACAGCCACGTTAGGCTATTGTACACGTCCTCATGCAGTCAATGCCATGCGGGCGTCCAGCGGAGGGCAGAGCACATATATTGCTCCTCCATTGACACTCATTTGCGGCCTTGTAAAGAAACTGTTTCCCTTAGGAAGAATAAAAATGGGCTTACTCGGAAGTGAACATTCCAACTGGAAACTGCATCTTTATCGCCTAAGCTAAGCCCGATTCCACCTTATACAAACGCATCATGCAGCGTACCGTGGCATCCAGTCGCTAATATCTTGAGATTGATGTTGCGGCACCCCCGGGCTGATCGTATGCTCCAGGGGATACCATCATTGGCACTCTGGTACGCCAGATACCAGTCGTCACTCCGGAAGCGAAAGTGGTAATAGCGCCGGCAGGCCGAATCAAGGTCAAAATTGATGAGGGCAACAGTCGGAACGTATACCGAAGTGAACATCGGCTTCTGAGGGGTGTGACGGATGTCGTCTTTTGCGGCCCGTTACATCTTCCTGAGGACAGCGAGGAAATCCTAATTTGGCCTTTTAGAACAATTCAAGTCTGCACGAAGCCATCATCTCCTCGTTTCTAACGAACCAGCGTCCTCCGACAATCAGCGACATTGCCGCCCGTTTCCAATGCAGTGAGTTGACAGCGCGGAAGGGTCTACAAGCTTTGGCAGACTACCACGGCGTTGTGCTTCACCCACATTCTGACGAGGTCTGGGTGGCCCACCCGTTTTCAGCAGCACCCACGACCTGTGTTGTTTCCTCGGGCGAGCGGAGATGGTGGGGAAACTGCGCCTGGTGCTCGCTTGGGGTGATGCAGCTCGCTGGCCGCAACGCGACTCTGAAGACAAGGCTTGGTGCTATCGGCGACGAAGTGTCTATCACCGTCGAGAACGGGGAGCTGGTAGAGAAAGATTACGTCATACACTTTCCAATCCCAATGAGTAACGCCTGGGACAACGTCGTTTATACCTGCTCGGTCATGTTACTGTTCCGCAACGAAGCGGAGGTGGACGAGTGGTGTTCCACTAGGGGTATCCCTAAAGGTGATGTGCGGCCAATTGAGCAGATTTGGCATTTTGCTGCCGAATGGTATGGACGCCACGCCGACGCGGACTGGACAAAGTGGTCATTGCGCGACGCGGTAGAGATCTTTCGCCGTCATGACCTTACTGGTCCAATTTGGTCGATTGAGGACAACGCAGGGCGCTTTTGAGTGCCAGAGCATGATGAGGACAATTATACTGCCTACGCACCCGTATGCTCATGGGAACTACGCGCCTTTGCCCGGCCATCTGTTTGTTCGTGGTCAAGAGGTCTTTGATGATTGACTGGTATCACCCGACACAAGGATGGAGGACCTCCGAGAGCAACCCGATATTTTTTTGGGTTAGGTTGGTTTGCAATCGCTTACTTGATCCCTCGCGAAACGATAAGCCGATAAGTTTCTAGAGCAAAAGTTTTATTTTCGTGGTTGGCGTCTCTAATCATAGCCGCAGCCTTCAGCTAACGGAGGATATAGTTCCTCATAGTCCAAGGCATTGTGAGCGGGTAGTCGAACCTCGGTAGAGAGGAGCGGAGATCAAGTGTTCCTTAAAGACAACATTCGGAGCGCTTTGGAGTACTTTGTAGGAGAGAATTCCTCAGAGCCCCTCGTGGAGTGGGCCATCCTCCATCGGATTGTGACTTCGTAGCCCTGAGTCCCTTTGTTTCTCCTCCCCCCGGGCCCACCTAACTTAGCCAGTCCCTGACTGGTCTCATGTCCAGACTTGTGTTGAGTCATAAGCCTAGCCAACGACGCGAGTATCACGTGTCTTGCAGCCAGTCGCTATAGGTCGTGCTGAGCCTAGTGAACACGCCATCTCACTGTTTTAACTGAGGGTCCCTTTTAGCAACAATACAGCCGGGTAGAAAGCTTCCTTCCTAGAGGAAGCAGAAGTGCGGGAACATGTATAGATAGATGTCTCAGCAAAATCAGCGCGAAGGCTAACGTATTTCCCAGCTGAGTCGGACACCCTAGCGAGCCGGACATCAATGCATATCACATACCAATAATTTAATTTGTGTGAAGAGGTCAAAGGGGAGAATCATGTGCAGGTATGCTGTTCGTCGCCTCTCTGAACTTCACACGACAAACTTAGATACAACATTTACTCAATAAGGACTGGGTATTGCCATGGGAATGGTATTGGAATGATGAGACCTGGTTTATGTGGAACTGAAGTTGGCAACACTTCTCTAGGCTGACTTCGCCAACCTTTGGCGACAGAATTCGCCATCAAAAACCGCTGATGACGGTCACCTTCGGCAGGCAATACCCGTGCAATCAGGAGCCGTGCAGCACGGAGACCGTTAACAGGATTCGGTCCCAGTTATTGCGGTTTCCGTCAAAGTATTCAACGTAGTGGTCCATACCAGCGAGAGACGGAATACAGAAATTGTACATCGCCGTTGAACTGAGTTTCGACGTTTGATGGGTCTAGATCTTTGAGACGCGTGGGACATTTACCTTTCAGGCACAATGTAGCGGAGCTAGACCTAAAAGGATAAAGCACCATCTCTGCGTCGTTATGTACAAGCCAAAATCCAAAAGAATATGTGGTCCTGAGCAACCAATCGCTGGCTAGTGGAATTTTACCACTCCATGTGCTGACTGTTACGGCACCCTTGTCAGTCAACTAACGTATTTCATTAGTGAATGTTCCCCACCAACGAGCATTTCACCTCACTGAGCCGTGGGCTGAGCAGCGCGCAAGACGCGGGCATCTCTTTGTTGCGGGGTTCGGTTGGTTTTCGCTGCCCGGTGGTTCTGCCTGGCGTGGCCGCCCTCAACTTGTTGGCTGACAAGGGGTGCCGTAACATCTATTTGTAACATCTATTTTGCTTTTTCTTGTTGCTGGTAATCAAACGACAAGGGATGTGGCAATTGTAGAGGGTGGCCGTTGTAGTACATAATGTGGGTCTATATTGACCAATAGATAGCCAGAGAATTCAAATCGAGCCCGACTTATTTAGAGCATTATGCATCAGGCAAGCATGTATATGTAACCTGAGAACACTGGTCTAGAGCATGTAAGATCAGTTGCACGCTCAAACTATCAGGACTCAGGGATTACAAAAATAATTACTCTGGTAGATATCATTCATAGGAAAGAGGCAGACCCCTGTTGAGATTCATGATAGGCTTAGATCACTAGCATTCTGAATACGACCATAGGGCGGTGTCTGTTACAGTATGCGCAACCAAGATCTAGACGTCAGCAAACTACATCAACACAAGGATATCTACCAGGATTCCCTTACATTGACAACACCAGAGTTTATATTGGCTTGAGTAGACCATGGGATATAATCCCACCTCTGGGCTAACGCGGGACAGGTCGAAGAGATGGAATGGGCGGGGTACTGCAGGGCCGCCAATAAGGAGTTGCAAAGCATATTGGAAACCTTACACTAGCGGGTGGCAACCGACCCTGCAGAAACCACGCTCATTAATAACGGCTGAGGCTTCACCGTGATAGTAAAGGAGTTGCTATACCAATGCATCCTACACCTGAGCCTCGTTACAACGCGGTTGGGATGATTCACCCCTATGGCCAATATAGACCTGGGCGAAGCGACTAGCGTTTCACCACAGTTGCTGGCTACCTCTATGCCTTTGAAGGCCTACCCAGAGCTACACTGCAAGAAACGCTGTTCGCGATCTCAGGGCATGCTCGTCAGCCAATCAGTAACGGGTTCATTTATTCACGAAAAAGTCCGCCTCACGGCACCGTCGGGCAGCGCATATAGTTTGTATATAAACCCCCAGTTCCTCCAGTTTCTCCAGACAGTGACCACTAACTCCTCCATACAAGAGTATGGGCCTAGAACCAATGGTTTGCTTGGTCGCCCCCAGCAGGAAGGACAACAAGGCTCGTTGATGCCCGAGCTCATCACACTCAATAACGGAAAGCACCCGCGAGCGATGTGTGCTCACCTAGATAATATCAGGACTCGGTAAGCAGATTCAGATTCATTGAGAGCAATTACCGCCTAAAGATGCGGCTCAATTCTATTTCTATTCTTCTAAGCCTCTAAACACGAACCCCGCCGTTCTCCTTCTTGACCATGGTGTAAGGAGCGCCCAGGCGCTTGAGGACTTTGATCATCCGCGGCTTAATAAACATTGGCTCGGTGACGCGGATATACCTCTCGTAGTATTCCTTCTTCAGCTGAACCTGTACGTAGCTCAACATTAAACTGGGACATCATTGAGGAGTATCCAAAGTCTTATATGTACCTCTTTCAACCAATCCAACGGCTGAGACCTGGTAGATCCAATTAGCACCCCACGGCTCTGCAGTAGCACTAGCGGGCAACGTACCAATTTTCCACCCACAACAACTCCCCTGGATTCTCAAGGGACTGGTAGACTTCGAAAAACGTGCACTCGGGTTCAGAAATAACCTTTCCGTAGACGGGAAGAAATTCCTCGAAGGATTCGGATACGTTTTCTTCGTCGATGAAAACGGTGACCTGAAGGGACATTGCGGAGGACGCGGCCAAGGATGCCATGGCAAGAGGATAGATTTTGGATACTAATTGCACCACAAGTCTTAAATAAAGGGTATTACTCGCTTTTTATGTTCATCCCGGCTGCCCGCGGATATCCCCATGCAGTATCCTTCCGCCGTTCTCAAATCCATAAGACCCTACGGAACGAGATATCCTTGTGTGGCTAAAGCCAATCATTGAACCTGCCCGGCTGTGTATGCCAGAAGGCTCGGAGGGCAGCTGATATTCTTTCTCCGGCGGACCCACTGCGCTTCTCCTAAGGCGGACCAGCCGTCGTGAAGTCCACCGTAAGCAAAGACTATCGTCTCCTTACTAGCGGACTTTTTCCGCCTCAATATGCGCAAATACTGTCTTGGAAGAAATTTGTTGTGACCTGAACCGAGTTGGGTCTTAGGTCTGTCGGGCTGCTCACCGACGGAATTCGCTTTCGATGAGAAATTAGCCGAGTATGTCAGTGTTTTGTGTTCAGTGACTTGGGATACGTCTTTATTTCGGTCAGATGCGCCATAACTCGCAACCGATTATATTAGACATTCCGTCCCATTCATTAACTATCAGGTAGTAAGTTCTATTACCCGCGACAATTCAGACCGAGCGAGTAAAACTTCCCACAAGCTCACTAAACACCTTTACATCCAAAGGCCTCGCCAATATTTCCTCCCTAACCGCTAGCTCATGTAGCTCTTTAATATAGTCTTTGTTCGTATGCCCCTGAAACGCGGCTTCATCCCTGTAACTGTATCTCTAGGTCAGTGCCAGTGCCAGATTCTTTAAGACGAATAAAGTTGCACAGCAAGGCGGGTACCTCTCAAGAAACAAGGATTGGCTACTCGACTCGACCCAAAAGAACTGGTATTGCAGCGTGTCGGGTTCGTTTTGCTCCACTTTTGCCACAACATCTAGGAGGAGTTGTCGGCACTACGCCGTTGGTAAGCCCAGATGTTAAGTGAATAATGCGCCATAAAGATAGACGTCTGTGATTAGTTTTGAGAGAGGGAGCTTAAACCCACCCTGTCCTTCTTGCCAGGCGCCGGCGTTATTAGCGCAACGGCGTGTCTTTGGCGGGAGCAGTCCATATTTGTGGTAACTAGAGAGGCTGCAGGCGGGGAAGCGCTGTTATAGTCTTACTCTGATGAGCCCACCGGAGAGGCAGCTGCGCCCTTCAAATCGCTAGGGCATATTGAGTGATATATATCTTCTACATACCGCGCACGCTAACTCTGGGCCCACTTTGGGTGATCCTTTCAGACGATAATGTCGGCTACTAGCGGGCAACCCGCGCATCTCACTGGTTAAGGCCTCCTAAGTCCGAGAATATATATAGCAAGTGGGATTTCGCGCCTTGATGCACAAAGTGCTCTAGGCATGACTCTCTTGGAATATTGGGGAGGTTACCTCTTTCTGTTCGCTTAAGGTCCAACATGAACACGATAGGCGGCTACAGACAGAAGGGAAGCAGAATGCTGTTTTTGGCGTGATGTCTATTCCCCAACGGCAGAATTGATGACGTCTTCACATGCTTTCAATGCTCGTCGCAGGCAGATCATATAGACACACTACTGGACTCCTTGAAGGTACACCCCACTCCACAGCTGGGTATTGCAACAGCGCTAGATAGTAACCCGTAGCCTAAGTCAGCCCTTGGTCCCCATTTTCCTCTGATACAATCCCTTCAACCATGAAAACGCAAACCACGACTCCTCCATAACCGAAACCCGAAGCAACTTTGTACTCATAACAATAGCGCCACCACGCATGATAAGCCACCAACGCTCATCAGCAGCCTGCGAAATCGCAGCGCCGACGGCACATACCCATATAAGGGCCTCCTGCGAACAGTGCATCCACTGCACGAGATCCGTCGCCGCAAGAGCTCGTTTGAGGTTTAGGAAGAGACAGGAAATTGCCCTAGAATCGTAGAATCGACAAGTGTGGTGCCGTCAGCTAGATACCAGAATATGCTCGTGGTTGCTTTGCACGCTGTGTAGACGGTGTCATCCGATGGGAGCAGGGATGGATTCGGTCGGAACAGCGCCACAGCGCCGGAGGGTGGAGTGACGCCGTCGCGCATTTGGCGCCATTTATAGGGACATTTCTGACCTGTTATAAAATCTTGGAAGAAGAATCCGGCGTCATGGATCTCTTGGAATAATGGGATGATAGATTTGGCTCTGTTGAATGTGACGGAATTTAGCCGTGCTCGATGGATGATGGACGTGATTAGCGGCGTGGGCGGGGGACAGGAAGATGCCGTTTCTATATCCAGAGTGGCCGCTGCCGCTAGGACCGTCGAGAATATCTTGACCCTGGGAATTTTTAGTATTAGCGATAGAGGCATACCATCTAATCGAGCACTTGTACATCCGCGACGTACATATAAACCATATCAATTAGAGAGCCGTCAAACCCCAGATTTTTCAGCCCACCCTTGGCTTGGACCATACTCATCATGCCCCTGATATGGATTTGCATAGTAGACGGGTCGTTTTCAACGCACTACACTGTCAGAAAAGGACTAGCGATGGATATTCAGTTCTTGTAAGGTCTCCTTACCGCATGCATAGCTAGGAGAGCAACGCAAGCAATCAAGCCATCATTAAGTTCCACTCTCTCGGCAGCCAGTTGCCGGTTAATGAGATTCACGGCCTCTGTTTGGTGATGAAGAGTAGTTGCGCTCTGATATTTCTTTCCCTGATTGGCATCTAATCGGGCTGACGCGTAAAACAGTATGACGTGGAATAGGCATGGGTCTGATAAAGCATATTGCAGCCATGTTGTACGCATGTGGAAAGCTAGACTCCAGGAGTCGACCGAGAGAGATGCAACCCCCATTCTGTATTGGACTTTTCATCAAGTAAAGTCAGCAACAACGTATGCTAGATGACGACGAGCCTAGGACTCACAGAAGTCGAGAAGCATCGCAAACTCGTCCCGAATCGGGACAGGGTATGCTGGGTGAGCAAACCGAGAGTCCAGCAGGAGGAAATCAGGTGCTGATGGATCAGGAAGTAGAAAAATGGTTCCATCGTGGTCGATCCAGTGATACGTGCATTTTATACCGAGACTGTGCTCTTGTTAGAATCCGATCTAGGGTTGACACATAGCAATTGCGTCGGCATTGGCTACTTGTTGCAACGGGAACAATTGGGTAAGCGCTTATCGCACGACTTTTTCCGCTCCTTACAACTAGCACAAACCCGCTTCGCGCAGTATCGAGTCGCTAGTCGCGCATCATGTCCCTTTCTGCGCTGTTTCAGAGCCGAGGTCCGCTAGCCGGTGCTGCATGTACTCACTCTGGCTGTCGTGGCGGGACGATAATGATGCTGTTGGCTCGGTACGAACAGCGAGCATCGGTTCTCACTCTACTTCAGTGTTTCTGCAGTGCCCGATTCAGGGGGGTTTCGGAGGTACAGGCAAATTTTTATCACATTTGCGCTTCTTGGACGCGCATGCTATACACGCACGCCGGGCGAGCATGAGTAAATCTTGGAAAGAGCAAAGCCTTGATATTATCTTGACCTTTGTTTGTAACGCGTTCCTAGAAGTCAAGGATCTTTCCCACCAGCTGACAAGAAGAGCCTTGGTATGCTTACGGCCCGCCAGAAAAACTCCTTAGTGTGCCAAGATTGACTAGTCCATTTTCAACAGTCAGAGCCGACTGAGGAAACAGTACGATCCACCGAACAATGTTTGCGCCGCTGCCCACCTACTCCAGAGGACAACCTAATATGACTGCATAAGAGAGACTCTCATCATGGCCCCACCCCGTGCCTTTGCGGAAAATCCCATCTCCTGAAACGCAAGGTCTCCCATAACCGCATCCATATCCGTATGCTGCACCCCTGGCATTGACTTCACCAGGTGATCGACATCTGCACACTGGAACTTGTACTCCCGAACGGTCAGAAGCAGAATGATTCGGAGTCCGTCCATTGCCAGGTCCCGTCCGGGACACATGCGGGCGCCGCGCTCAAAGGGCCGCCACGCATTCCGGGGCATCGAAGCGAGATCCGGCTCGAGAAAACGGGCTGGGTTGAACTTTGTTGGGTGTGGGAATATCTCTGGATCATAGTGAATCGTGTGTGCAGGGAATAATCATTTGATTGGTAGTTGGATATGTTATACCGTTGTATGTTAGTGTGGTAGACCTGGTTGATTCGGTATCAGATATGCTAACCCGCGAAGTACAGGTACCCAGTGGTGCAGGAAGTGCTTACCCTTGCTTTGCCTTACGAGCACCAAATCCAACAGGAAATAGGCGGAGCGTTTCCTTAACAACGGCTGTGGTGTAGTGTAGTTCGTTGAGTTTGTGTGGGGTCTGCTCGAGGACCTTTCTTATTGCATTTATGTCCCTGCTGAAGATCCGATCGTGCTCATCACGGAGGTTCTGGACTACAGGTGGATGAAAATGGAGCACAATAAAGACATACTCTATGGGATTAGCGGAGCTACCAATGTAGAGCTTGTTTCTGGACTTACACATAAAGTATCCGCTGTTGTTCCATAGCCTCCAAGCAGCAGACCTTTGACACTATAGACTGATTAATATGGGCGCTAGAAGGAGTATAGAAGTGCACTGACTTATCCGTAACAATTTGCACAAGCTCAGAATCCGGTGCTGCAAAGCCGTGAGGTACGCATCGCATACTCTGAACATTAGCCAGGATCGCGTCCAGAATAGTAGAGTCTGCTCTATTGACATCGACCTTCCCGTGCGCTAATTGCGCGTAACGACCTTTGATCAACAACCGAAGAAACGAATCCATCCGTTGTATTGCAGCTCGCTTCTTCCACCATTTGCGTACCTTGGACAAGGGATTCGTCGCGGCGGTGAGCGTCAACATAGTTGCATAGTCAACTACAGCATTGATGTCTGAGATAAGCTGTGCGTTTTCATCCTCCGAAACGCTGTTTCCAAGGATGACCGTACTGCTGATACTAAAGACCAGCCGGGCAGCGCACTCCTCCATCGAGAATACCTCCGCACTCCCGGCATATTGCGTCAGAGTGGGATGAAGAAGCAGGCTAACCTGCTCTGCAATAACAGGTGCCATGGCCTTAGTCTTTGATGGTTTGAATGCCGGTGTCAGGATGCGGTGCAGCATCTTCCACCTCTCCCCGTCCGAGGCACCGATTGCATGTTCCCCTAAAAGCGGGGTGAGGTAACGAGAGACTTCGTCATGCAACGGATAATTTTCCACAGTAGTGACATGCTCAGCGGCGTTTGGGTGTACTAGAACCATCTGCGATGGGCCAAATGGCCATAGGTCAAGGTAGAAGATGCCCTTGAGCTGGTATTTGTGGCTAATTTCCGTGTAGTACGTGGCTATTGCAGTGTTTGGAGGGAATTGATTCATGATGTTGTTGAAGAGCTTGAGGTGGCCCCAGACGGCGCTGTGAGGGGGTTTTGGCTTCACAGAGATGATCCGTTAGCAGCTGATTGCTTTGGGATGAGCTTGATCGTACGAGAGTAGAGTAGAATCGGCGGTGCCGGAGAAGCCGGACACCGAAGACAGCGACGCCTACGGCAGAGAGGAATAATAGATGGAGAAGAACCATAATTATTGTGTCAATATTGTGGAGTAGGTAAGGACATGCATGAAAGATTTGCCCAAGGTAAGCACGGGCCCAGAGATTGGGATTATATATTCCCTACTGCTGAGGAATTGTACACATCGTTACAAGCCACGCTCTCGCCAAGCGCGAAGCTCTAGGACAATGCGGCACAAACCCGGTAGGGCGGCGACTAGCGGAGTTTCGGGCGTTACTATTGGCGGATTGCGTATATGCCTTGAGTTCACTTGCCTACAGATTCGTATAAGGTGCCCACATGACCGCCAAATGAACTCAACACACCCTTCGGTGGCGTATTCCACTGTCGAATGGTCCAAAACGAGCGGTCCATTTTCTTCCACAGCCCCATCTAATTTGAGCGACAAAAGGAGATTGAAACCTTATATATTACGACGCTACGCGACAGCGAAGCACTTTCCCTGACTAGGCATGCTATGATGACTGCAGTAATTCGCCGTCACCACAAAATAAGCGGGATGCAAGCACAGAAATAGCCCAGGCAAAGCATGACGGACACCTGCCGATCGTTGTTTCAACCACGTTTGATCTCTGGGCCCGTGAGATAGTGCCACTGATCCCTTTTTGGAAGTTGCGTAGAGGGTTCAGCTTAGATTATCTCAGAATTCGAAGGCAGCAAAGCGAAAACTACAACACGGAGTTCGACTGTCATTCCCTAGTGAAGGGAGAATGGAGCTTACTATGCCCACGCATCAGTATTTGCTTATCTGGTTGCTTCTTGACCACGCAATTATGTCATATAATTCCTCCAGGAAAAGGAGCTAGTGTGTGTCCAAGTACTTCCTCCCGGTAGATAGTGGCAGGGTACATATCGTAATAACCATCATCCCGGCCCACGATTTGCTCGCGTCTAGATCCTCACCTCTTTCAACGCCCGGAGACCAAATCACGCATCTCGCCGACTTGTACCTCGGTTCTAATTATTTCACAATACTGTATGAAGTCGGTGCTAAGCCTGAAATTCCCTGTCTCATCAATTAGATATCGCAGACTCTATACTTTAGGCATACTGTATATGCCACGTATTTCCATTGGAACTGAGTCGGCTGCCTTGCAGTACGCAGCCATTTGTTACTTCCACACTATCAGATGCCCGACCTTTCCACACTATAAGGGAGGTGAATGTTGTTTTCTGGTGGGGGGCTAAGAGCCCAAACCTGCAGATAGGCCTACTATTCTAAGCCATAAACAGTAGGATCACATGGACAGCCGGTGGTATGCCGGATGCAGACAGTCTCTATTGTAGCCCTTGGAGCGAGCGTAGCCTGCCATAACTGTCAATGAAAAGGCCACTGATAGTTCGGCCGCCCTGTTTATCTAAGTATATCCAGCATATATAACCAATTCTGCTCTGTGCTGGATGGTATGGATCTCCGGGAGGTACAACTATCGTACTGTCCATCACTCGGAGTACACTACACAGAATGCATGGTCTGACTATTCATCTCCCTGATTTGGAGTATCTTCTTATTCCTTTACTCTTCGGCGGGTGTAGTGGGGAGTGTTCCCCAGCCGCGCATGAAACGTAAAGTCAACCGGACACGATCTGGAGTCTGAGGCTCTCAAAACGCCCACACCACAGCAGGAATTTCTCCATCAAATTCCTTCTCCGCTAGTAGCGACCCAAGAGTATCATTAACCCCGTCCCATTTGACTACCGATACCTTGCGGCTGTTCTGCTGTGCTATCGCCACCATCCCCTCTTCCGCATAAATATCAAACTGGCGCGGGAAAGACCCAAAAGACGGGTATAGTCCCACAAAGGAGGTGGAGGAGGATTGTGCCTGACTGCTAAGGGCGAAGATCGCTATAGAGTCATTTCTTGGCCCAAAAGTGTTATCGTTGCGATTCGATATCACGATACGATCATTGCCCGGCTATAGGGGAGAAGGGATGTTAGCGGGTCTGGGATACTAAGAATGATGAGCAGGAGCAGATAGAGAGAAACTCACCGAGATGGCAATCTCTGCGACCTTTGAGCCAGCTGGAGGGGTTGATCCGCCGTACGTGCTCCCCACATAGAATTCCGAGAATAGAATTGTGCCATTATTTGAATATGTCATGTCGTACCCCGTCAGAGAATTGTCAAGCTCCGTCACCAGATACAAGCGGACGTTCTTCGGTCGAATCCGGCGTTCGTTCCTAGGAACCCAGAAGACGGCATGTCGTGGGCCGGAGCCCGGAGCCACAACCAGTGGCTGGTGCTGCTCCAGATGGCCTGTGGTTGGGCATATGCGGAAGATACGGACAAGGTCAGCTCCTAGATCCGGAACAAGGATAAACTGCCCAGACGGGTCGACCACCACTCCATGGGGATGTGGCGCGTCTTGTCGCTCAGGGACTGGCCCGGGGGCGGGCATGGCGAATGTGAAGGATTGAGAGTGGTTGAAGCGACCGCTGGCAGGGTCAACCGAGTAGGTCGTGACTGCAGACCCTGAGCTAAACGTTGAGTCTTAATAACATGATCGACGAGTGACAAAGCCTTCCAGGTAGATGAATTTGCTAGAAAGCAAGGAAAGGCAGTGGTTACTTACTAGTGCGCGACGGCAAAGAATCTCTGGTCTGGTTGTTGGGTTGGTGTATAAAACGCAGACGCAACCGGCCCTACCAAAGTTTGAAGTTGCTCAACCTTTGCGAACGAGCCATCCGAATGGAGCTTGAAGGAGGACAGCGTGGAATTAGGGCGATCAATGCCTTCGTCCAGACAATACATAAAATCATTCTCCCTATCCAGCATCAGCCACGAGGGGCTCGTGCCGCAATCGGTTGTCTCAGAGACCGTCATCAATTGATAGCCTTCGCCAGACGCTTCCAGGCTAAGCGATGTCAATTTGCCCGCATATGACGCTGCGTAGAGACGCGCCGCCATGACACCGCTCTGAAATAGGAGAGCAGCTACCTGGAAAAAATTCATTGCAGTGGCCTCACTTCTGCGGAGTTATGCCGAATCGTTCAAACCATCGACGGAGGATACCCATCCATCCAGGGAACGGCGCCTGGCGGTTTAAGTGAATTAAATAGCTGACGGTCGTCTTGTCAGGCACAGGGGGAGGAGAAAAAAGTTCACACCTTCGGCGCAGCGAAATTATTGGGGCAACGCTCCGATCCTCACAGCTCTAACAGGGAGTAGATTAAATGGGGCGACGAGCTTTTAGGTTCGGCTGGTACGAGGCTATGCAGGATAGAAATCATGGTGGATCCCAGAGTTGAAGAAACACATAGATGACGATATAATCGTCATCTATTCCGTGGTACTAGATAAAAAAAGCAGTGAAGTAATGTTTCTTTCGTCCTGTGCCCAGTGAGTAAACGCTTTGGTGAGGACAGGCCAAAGTATGTTGGCTGTGGTTTGTCGGCTGCGAATCCGGCCGAACTGATAAAATATCCCCAGATTCGGTATACGCCGAACAAATGGTTCGACCAGGAAGTGATACTCTCGGGTAGACCACTTGCTGTTTCTCGGGGACGGGTTTACTCACGGTACAAGAAACTGTCGGAGACTTGATGGACCAGCTACTAGAAACTGACGATACTGCGATGCGGTATAACCGCGACTTGCGTCACATTACGGGTTCAGCTATGAACACGGGAGCTAATTTTGATCACGGATACATGGTTAGCCCAAAGACCAACCTAACAATCGACTCCTTGCGTCCACGTGGGAGGCCCAGGAGGTACTCGGTTTCTGATGGCTCATTCGATACGGTGAATGCGGTTATAGGCCCTCGGGACGGCTAGAGTGGGGTGTCTTCTCGGCATGCCGAGAATCGGTGCTCATATCTACGGATCACCAGGAAAATTAGATGCGTAGAGAGACGAGAGGGAGCTTGGCGAGCGGTTGTGTCTGATCCGATGCTTGCACTAGCCGTTTCTTTGCCATATTGACGAGGATCTGATCCGAATTTCTCAGCAACTCTGTCTGGATCTCTTGATTAAGATCTACGGGGCCAGAGTTCAGCAGATTGCAACTGGAACGGACCGTATGTCGGTGAAAAGACAGCTTCTCAGATGACGTTAGGCGGGCGTCCTCCAGGAGCTGGTCTTTCAGCATGGACTAGTAATGGTGTGCCTCAATTTCCATTTCCGCGACTGGTATTGGGTCGGACGTGGACTTGCCATACCCCTTCCGCATACAATGTAGTCCATACCCAGCCCACATGACAATTAAGTCAATCCGCCACAGTCAGCATCACCTGCCGTGAGACTACCTGTTAGGACATCGCGCTCGGGATGTGGGCCTTACAAGTATCTCACCCTTGGCTCCCGTGGACAACAAGGCGCTCCCCTGCGCCAGTCAAATGTAACCTTTTATTACGCCTATGCCGAGCATCAAGCCATGTCAGACTCACCGGATACCTGATGCAATTAGCAAGAGATAAGAGCTAGCTCGAGTGAATTCTTCGGGTGGAGTTTTTGAACAATTGGGTCTGGACTGTCGATTGCCTCTCGCTTATAGCGCGTTATTCAGAACGTGCTTTTGGTATTGGAGCAGATTATTTGCTCCTACCTGATAACGTCCGTTCCAGGCCCTGGAAGAGTAATCTTTACCCGTTGGTGCAAGGATAGACGGGGTACGGAAACACGAGAACTAAAAAGCTTACAGTGTTTCAGTCCGTGATTCTACGAAGGCTCTGCGCCAGTCCTCATGATGATCTCGTCATTGTGTGAGGCAGACAAGACCGCAAGCAGCTAATAGCAGTCACAGCTGCAATTGTTCTCACCGATTCGACAACTTTCTTCTGTTCCAGGTATGAAGACAGCCCAATAACACGTGCACCACTACAGCCAGAACCTGAACTAGACCTGGAAGTGGAGTGGTATTAGTGTAAATGTAGGTAGGATCTACCACAGTAAATCCATGCTATAAATTGTCCTTCTCTCACCCCTGGAGACTGGGGAATGAGCTGACCATGCTTCAATTATCTCTTACTGCCTTTCGTTCTTTCCATTTCCATACCGGCCCTCACCCCCTGAAGACCACCATTGCGATGAGACATATCAGTTATTTTCTTTTGCCTCTGGCGACGGTCAGCGCTTACCTGGTGTCCGAGCAGGTTAACGTTCAAGCCAGTCTGCTCACCAACCCGGAAGATGTCGCCGACAAGAAGTTCGATTACATTATCGCCGGTGGTGGTTTGACTGGCCTGACCGTGGCCGCCAAACTGACAGAGAACCCTAACATCGAGGTCCTGGTTATTGAAAAGGGCTTTTACGAATCCAACGACGGGACGATTATCGAGGACCCAAACGCGTACGGTCAAATCTTCGGCACCACTGTGGACCAGAACTACCTCACTGTGCCCCTTATCAACAACCGTACCGACAACATCAAGTCCGGAAAGGGGCTCGGAGGATCCACGTTAATCAACGGCGATTCATGGACTCGCCCTGATAAGGTCCAGATCGATTCGTGGGAAAAGGTTTTCGGCAACGAGGGGTGGAACTGGGACAACGTGTTCAAATACATGAACCAGGCTGAACGTGCCCGTGCCCCTAATGCTGCCCAGGTCGCCGCCGGCCATCACTTTGACCCTACTTGTCACGGATTCAACGGCACCGTCCACGCTGGGCCCCGTGACAACGGCCAGCCTTGGTCCCCCTTGATGAAAGCACTTATGAACACTACTTCTGCCCTTGGCGTCCCTACTCAGGTGGATTTCCACTGTGGCCACCCTCGCGGTGTTTCCATGATCCCTAATAACCTGTTGGAGGATCAAGTTCGGGCGGATGCAGCCCGCGAGTGGCTCCTTCCCAACTATCGCCGGAAAAACCTAAAGGTCTTGACCGGACAGGTTGTGGGAAAGGTCATTTTTGATCAGGATGCCCCCAGCCTGAAGGCGATTGGAGTTAACTTTGGCACCAACAAGGCTGTCAACTTCAATGTCTACGCCAACCATGAGGTTTTGTTGGCTGCCGGCTCTGCGATCTCGCCGTTAATCTTGGAGTACTCCGGTATTGGCCTGAAATCCGTCCTTGACAAGGCCAACGTTCCCCAGCTTCTGGAACTGCCGGTCGGTATCAATATGCAGGATCAGACTACAACTACTGTCCGCGCGCGTAGCACGCCTGCTGGATTCGGCCAGGGCCAGGCTGTCTACTTTGCCAACTTTACGGAGACCTTCGGGGAGGACGCTCCGTACGCTGCTGAACTGCTGAACACCAAGCTTGACCAATGGGCCGAGGAGACTGTCGCACGCGGTGGCTCCCACAATGTCACTGCGCTCAAAGTCCAATACGAAAACTACCGTGATTGGCTGCTGAACGAGGACGTGGCATATGCGGAGTTGTTCCTTGACACTTCAGGACAGATTAACTTCGACTTGTGGGACCTTATTCCCTTCACTCGCGGTTCTACCCACATCCTTAGTAGCGATCCTTATCTCTGGCAGTTTGCCAATGATCCTAAGTTCTTCTTCAATGAACTGGATCTTCTGGGTCAGGCCGCCGCGTCCCGGCTTGCTCGCACGCTCCAGAACAGTGGAGCGATGGCCAACTATTTTAACGGGGAGATAATCCCGGGCTCTGAATTACCCTACGAAGCAAGTCTGGAGCAGTGGGCGGAGTACGTCAAGGATAACTTCCGTGCTAACTGGCATGCTGTGGGTACCTGCTCTATGATGTCGAGGGATCTTGGTGGTGTCGTCGATGCAACTGCTAAGGTTTATGACACCCAGGGCCTTCGCGTTATTGATGGCTCCATCCCCCCTACTCAGGTGTCTTCTCACGTCATGACAATCTTTTACGGCATGGCTCTGCGCATTGCTGAATCCATCCTGGAGGACTATGCCAAGGCTTAAACGAGTCTCAATACATATCAAAGCCCTTGACTGGCAATTCTCCCCATACCTTTACGAATGGTCTATCGTCAACGTCTGGAGTCGGTACTATTGTTGCACCAGAAGATAATGACCATTCAGCAGCATCGGCCAACGTTTTGTATCGTTTCTCATTCTGGGTTTAGCTGGCCAGCTGGACAGCTGGCCCGTTGTATTGGTGTATTTAGTCAACATTAATTTGCCAGTTATATAGATTCAGAACTTCTTATGCGTTTGATCTAGTAATATTCCATACGGCATCGGTGACGTTCGACTTATATACAGAACGACGTTAGTTAGCAGACTTCATTGAGCGAGCATATCTTGGTCTACAACTCCAAACTGATGAACAGATATAGAGAACAGACTTGATGAGATTGGACGCTGTCTATCAGGGAGGGTCAAGCACCGCAAGTTCTCGACAACATATGTGTCTTCTAGATAGAGGATTCTGTTTACGAAGCATTGATGTGCTCTGTTTCCGCGGGTCTACTATCGATTTGAGCTTACGTTTCAATACATCGCCTACGGGGTACACCTATCCTGATATGGCCGCGACAAACGGGGGAGCCGAGATCAACCTGGAGGGTCAAGAAAATCATCACGTGGTGGTGCTCGCTGTATGAGAGAAACCAGGATACCACGTTCTAACAATATGAACCCACACTACGGGGGGTGAGCTGGCTACTGTTGTACCATAGCTGTGGCCCTTAGCTTTGAATGCAGAAGACTGAAAGGCGACACTACCAATCGGCGGTTTGGGCCCGCGTTGTGAGTCGCCGAAGGTACTTATGTTCTTTGGTCCCCGTTTTGTTTAGTACAGTAGATACTGGGTAGCGCCGAGTGTGATCACTGTGGGTGTTCGGTTTACCATGACTGGGTCAGCTTCTCGGCGTGCCGAGAATTGACTTTCACGAAGCGTAAAGAGTGGGTCATTGGGTCATTATCTCGACCCTCGTATTGGCCGTTTCGGGGAATTATTGTTGAGACGCTGATCTATATTCCTCAGCATGACAGTATGGATCTCTACCAAGTAATATCCATAACGCAGAGGCTCGCTAATTGCGAAGCGAATGGGCTGAATCGCAGTATGTAACGATCTCGTTCGCCCACTTATAATCTCCATGTGTACACGTGGAGGTTTAATCTGCACAGATCCGCACGTATCGCCTCAGCTTCCGCCCCTTCCCCCCACCCTGACGTTCAACGGACCGTTCACCCCAGAAATCGGCGGCATCCCTGCCAAGAAGAGAGCCGTTCTCTGAGCCATCCATATTCCGCCCCCAACCAGGGTTAGTGAACCAAATGCCGAGCGGTACCTATCTATCAGCCGGTCGGTGATATTACGGGATTATCGCCAGAATAAGTCCGAATACACGTACTCGGATTTGTAGAAGAAGCGAGTTCCGTACGTTGGTCAGCCGAGAAGACCCGATCAACGGCTTTACGAGACGGGGCATCTGACGGAAGTGAAACCACTTAGTTAAAGCTGTCGTCGGATTACCCTGCAGCAAGGCCCTCACAACCACCCAACGTCGAGAGGCACAGGACAGCTTAATCATGCTAACAGACTCTTCCAGAGCAAAAACTGTTTGTCCCGGATCTGAAACTATAATAGATTTCGCTGCAAGTCTGGCGGATCTATAGTTGTGCCCCACGAATGTTAGTCCAAGGCATGAGATTAAAGTGGCGCTAACGGGTCACCGGCCACCCAGCACGGGCCGGACCCATTTTGGCCCTCTTAAGTTTACTCCTACCGTCATTCTGTTTTAGATTGTTGTCTAACGCCTTATCAGAGCTCTCGACTGAGCTGCTGAGAAATACAGTTGATGGCTCCTTTCAACCTTTTTTATGGTGGGGCGAATACGAGGCCCAAATGCTCACTCTGACCTTGCCTGACTGTGGTCTCTGGCTTGGCAATGGAGAAGCCGAGTCCAGGCCCGAAGCTGCTCGTGGAAATTCCCGCTGAGCAATTCCGGTAAAGGTCATGCATAGTCCTACATTCGCTTGGCGGTTCTGACAAAGATGAGTCTATAGCGCAAAGTATGAGGTGGAGGAAATTGCTCGTCGCCCTCTCCGCACTGCGAGTTGGGCATACAGAGGATGCAGTTCGGCAGGCATATTCCGATCTCCAAGCAGCTTAACTACATGGTCCCTCATTCCCAATCGCCCATGTTCTAAATCCCCAAGTTGTGCCTACATATCCCATTGAAATACCGGGCACGCCGGCCAGCGGAGCGCTCTATTTGATCGTGGGTAATATACTCGTCCACGGACAGAGGACGGTAGTCCTAATCGTGCCTAGATTTCAGGTTTCTCTGCGTCCGATGGTTACCGTAGAGGATTCCTTGCATAGGGTCTGGCGTTGACTGAGACGGGGACATTTGGCGGCAGCAGAGGGTTCAATATTCAACAAACATATGATTTATCGCACAGAATATAAGTCCAGCATTTAGACATAACCAAAAATCCACGCCGCCCATTGTGCAAAGCAGAAGTAAGCACATATAACTCGGCCACGGTATTTCTGTCCCAGAATGAAAATTTTGAAGCGGTTGGACCTGCCTGGGTCGAATCCTGACCGCTTCAGATAGTACCGAAAGTGTAGGTCGCGTAGTTAATGGCTGGAAGGTCCCCTGGAGAGTAGACCACGTCCTGGCCCCACTCAGGATGGTTGATAGAATCAACCCAGCCTTCAGGCTCAATCGCAAGACAGCCGTATTTCTCAACAGACCCAGCGGCCTCTTTGTCTTTTCCGTTACGCTCCACCTGAGAGGGCTTAACAGGAATTGTTCCGTCCATGTTCAGACACGTAAAGACTTGTATTGCGGGCTGATTGGTCGCAACCTCCATGCTGATCCCTGTGGTGCTGGAGTGCCATCGAAGTGCCGGAACCAAATTGTCATCGGCAGTGGCATAGAGGGAATCACGGTCAATGATGAAGCAGTGGTCGTAGCCGATGCAACCAGGTCCGCACAACCCTTCAGTATAGGATATATCTTGACCAATAGTCTTACCGGAAGTAAAGTCCATGCTGTTATGGTCGCTATCCTCAACGATGGCGATAACGCCGGTAGGAATTTGATTGCTGTCTGTTTCGATAAACCTCCTAGATAACGGAAGCTGAAGCCAGGCATCGTCAAGAATAGTGGGTTGCTTGAACGCATTCAAGTTCCAGTAAATGTGGTTTGAAAGCATGATGGGAGTAGATTCGGTGAGAGCGAGAGAGATCAGCTCCGTCACCAGCCTTGGGGATCCCTGGGGGTTATCCGGAGTTCGCTTGGAGTCAACGGTGTATGTCGCATGAGTGAAAATGTCACCTGGAAAGCCTTCTGCCGCATTGTCGTAGAGAGCAAATGTCACAGAAGAAGACGTGTAAGCCGTCACAGTCCAATTTTGCTGATCGTAGCCAACGTTTCCGCCATGCAGGGTGTACAGGGCATCGTGGTTTTTAGGGATGTTGTATTCAGTTCCGTCCAGGGTGAATGAACCGTTCTTAATGCGATTGGCAATACGGCCAATGACAGCTCCAAAGTAGGTATGACTGGTTTGGGTATCGTTGAGATACTGGGTTGGGTCATCATAGCCGACAACGACATCCTGCGGGGTGCCCTCCTTGTCGGGTACATGTAGAGAAATCAGGCGAGCTCCGTACGGGATGAGTCTGGCCGTAATGTTGTCTGCCGTGATCGTAAAGACTTCGAATGGATCCGCCGCCGGTCGCGGTTCTGGGCTACTCTCCCCCAAAACCACCATCGACGCCCATAGAAGGGCTGCCATAGACTGCTTGAGATTCATGTTGACCTCAGTTCCCGCAGGCACTCAATTTCGGATGCTTGTAGTGAAGCAGGCGTGAAGAAAACTCTGCGCCTCTCAATCGGGGCGTTTTAGATAAAGGAGTGCGAGAATATTTGAGGGAAACACAATGTGCGAACGTGGGAGAAGACGAACTAATGTAGCTCCGTGTTCTGAACGTTGTCCTCGAAACAAAACGAATCCAGCCACCATTCACTGCTAGGAGTGGCGGAATGGATATTTCTATTGGTGGCCCGTTTTCCGGAAAACACGATTCTTTGCCTCTGCAAACGATCTAAACACGGACTGAAAGTGTCTTTCCGGATAATGGGTTATTGTGGTCACTCCTACAAACTTAACTAGTCAGTGGGCTGTGGTGCCAGTTCCAGATGATGGGATCACCAAGCTATCAGCCTGCTGCATCGGGCAAGTCCTGGATAATTTAGGTGGTTATGGCCGGAGTCGCTTGTCCTGACCCTGTGTACACCACTGAATGGAACGCGGCACATTATGCCACACATAGAACGAAATGCCCTTCCTTCTTTGAATATTGCAGGATTCCATTTCTGCCCTCGTCGGCTAGGTTCCTTGACTGATCGTTGGTTGGAAATTAGCCTCATCGGTCTCATATTCAACTTTGTCTGTATTCATTCCTGGATTAGAAGGGGATTGCAAGTACGCCGCGCGAGCCCGTTCTTTCGCGGGTAGGAGGTATCCGAGACGTTAAGTTTGCCGAGCAAGCTGTATTCCAGTAAATGCAATGGCTGATGGTTCCATCATATTCAACAAGCGGTGATGACAGAACGGCCATACCGGCTTACCGAAGGGGCTCACAATGTCGATACGAGCGTTCGGGACCGACAGAACTTAACTGTTGTATTTGTATGATAACCAGTGTAAAGCTTGCCGGCGTCTCGTGTCTCTTGTGTCCTGATGCCGAGTATACCATTGGCTAACCTTGAGCGGACGCAGTACAACATGAAGTTATCAGTGGATCTCGACTGCACTCAGAACCCCGAGCTGCAAATTTCGGAGAATCTCTGCAGCGTTGGGGTGATCATCCGTATCCCGCGCGACCCACTACAGAACATACCCCACAGTTAATGCCTACCCAACCAGCGTTCCTAACATCTCCATTTGACTGGAGGGAGACCGATATTACTCCGTGATTTGGAGCTAAAGCATGAAGTACGCAGGAAATGCTGCAAGCCCTTCCAGCGGTTAATGTAGCTTGTGAAACGCAACTCGCAGTGGTATGTCTTGGCGTAGCGCAAATACGGCAAATGTTGATTTCTGGCTCGGAATACGCTGGGTTGGTGCGTTCGTTGGGCACTATATATTCAACACCACTTTTCTCGATGGTAACAGTGTAGCCTCTCGAAAATATAGAGCAACCCGACCTATCTGAAAAAGGACCTTTTACTCTTGCTTTCTTAATTTCTGGCATCGGTATCGAGCCATGGGCCCCTCACTCAACTGTAAGGAGACCTTGGGCCGGCTGTTTGTGTGTTGGCTTATGGTCAAGGCCCAGGCACAATCCACCCCAGCGGTCTCATCTTCCTTCGGCCCTCAATACACACTTCCTGTGTCGGCGAACGAAGCTCCGCCCGTGCTTCCCAATATTAGGGATCCATTGGCTGTTGATGCACAGGCAGCCTGCACCGGTTATGTTGCGTCTAATGTCAAAAAGACAGCCTCCGGGCTGACAGCCTTACTGTCTCTGGCAGGCAATGCGTGCAACGTTTATGGCACAGATATCGGCTCCCTGAATCTCACGGTCGAATACCAGACAACAGATCGGTTGCACGTTGAGATCGTGCCAACATACATCGGTGAGAATGCAACTCAGTATATCATCCCCCCGGGGGTGATAGCAAAACCTGGATTGGAAGAGTCCAATGTCGACTCCGACTTGGAATTCTCCTGGACCAATGAGCCAAGTTTTGGGTTCGAGGTGTTAAGAAAGTCGACAAAGGACGTTCTTTTCTCTACCAAGGGGAAGAAGCTAGTCTTTGAAAGCCAATTTATTGAGTTTACAAGTCAGCTCCCAGAGAACTACAATATATATGGACTGGGCGAGTCTGTCCATGCTTTCAGGCTGGGCAATAATTACACAAAGACCTTCTACGCAGCCGATGCTGGCGCCACGGTCGATATGTATGTGGTTTCTTTCCCCGTCATCTTTGTTCGGGTGTTCTCCCCTGAATTCACTAACGTTATATGAAGCAATGTCTACGGCACACATCCTTTCTATCTGGAGACCCGGTACTTTACCCAGTCTCCTTCCGGTGATCTCACATTAGTGACGACCAATGAGGTCGAACCGAACAAGACCTACACCTCTCTCTCTCACGGAGTCTACTCTCGGAATGCGCATGGGCAAGACATTGTCCTGCAACCAGACGGGATCACATGGCGGGCCATTGGTGGCAGCATTGACTTGTACTTCTTTTCAGGTCCAACACAACCAGAGGTGACCACGTCATATTTGAAAGCTGTAGGACTGCCTGCGTTGCAACAATACTGGACCTTTGGTTTTCATCAATGCCGGTGGGGATACAAGAGCTGGAATGACCTTGAGGATGTTGTGAATAATCACATCAAATTCGGAATCCCACTTGAAACGGTTTGGTAGGTGATTTTTTTTTTTGCGCTCCCTGTCTGACGGGGAGGGCTATGGTTTCTTTCATTACCTTTGCTTGTTTACTCACAACCGCGTGTGGCCCACCCGACTGACGAAACTCAAGGACTGATATTGATTGGATGCTACGGTACCGGGACTTTGAAAATGAGCCAGTCGGGTTTGATTACGAGGCAGGTAACAGATTCCTTGAGCGTCTCCACGAGGGTGGCAGACACTATGTTCCCATATTTGATTCTGCCATTTACATTCCCAACCCCAAGATTGAGAGTGATGCGTAAGTCAGCTTTCCATCCATCGATATCAACGTGCTTACTTCTTGCCAGATATCCGACATTCGAGAGGGGCAACAAAACTGGCTCGTTCCTGACGAATCCGGATGGTAGCCTCTATATTGGTTCGGTCTGGCCTGGGTACACTGTCTTTCCTGACTGGTTATCTGAAGGCGCTGAGCAATGGTGGATCGATGAAATGGTCCTTTACCATCAGAAGACCGCGTATGATGGAGCATGGGTTGACATGAGCGAAATATCCTCTTTCTGTGTTGGAAGTTGCGGAAGTGGCAACCTCCACCTCAACCCTGTGCATCCCCCTTTTTCCCTCCCTGGCGAGACTAGGAATCCGGTGCTCAAGTACCCTGAGGGCTTCAATGTCACCAACTCTACCGAGGCTGCCGCTGCATCTTCAGCGCTTGCTTCGTTCTCCAGCGCTTATCCTGCAACCACCTCTACAAGCACCGCTTCCTATGTCCGCACTACCCCTACTCCTGGTTTCCGTGATGTCAATTATCCCCCGTATGCCATCAACAACGTCAAGGGCCCTTTGGGTGTCGCTGCCATCTCACCCAATGCCACCCACGCCGAGGGCACTCTGGAATATGACATGCACAACCTTTGGGGCCATGGCATCATCAAGGCCACCTATGCGGCCTTGTCTGAAATTTTCCCTGGCCACCGCCCATTCATCATCGCCCGCTCTACCTTTTCTGGGTCCGGTGCCTTCGCTGGGCACTGGGGTGGCGACAACTGGTCTAACTGGCCAAGCATGGCTTTTTCGATCCCGCAGGCTCTCCAAATGTCACTACTTGGTGTCCCGATGTTTGGTTCCGACACTTGTGGCTTTGCGGATAATACTGATATGGAGCTATGCAACCGCTGGATGCAGTTGAGCGCATTCTTCCCCTTCTACCGAAACCATAATATTCTCGGGGCCATCAGTCAGGAGGCATATACATGGGCTTCTGTTATTGATGCAAGTAAGACAGCCATGACTGTCCGGTACCAGCTTTTGCCGTACCTTTACACTCTCTTCTATCACGCTCATACCGCAGGACACACGGTCATGAGGGCTCTTGCATGGGAATTTCCTAACGATCCATCCCTCGCCGGCGCAGATCGACAGTTCCTATTAGGACCCTCTATTCTGGTCATTCCCGTCCTTGAGCCTGGAGCAACGTCAGTTAATGGCGTCCTCCCTGGGTTGATTGAGGGTAGCGAAAAATGGTATGATTGGTACAACCAGACCGCCGTGCCAGTGCCATCTCAGGCGAACACAACCATCAATGCTCCTCTGGGCCACATTCCGGTCTTTGTACGTGGCGGGTCTGTCCTCCCGCTACAACAGCCTGCACTCACGACGAGAGATGCGCGACAGAGTCCCTGGGATGTGCTCGTGGCCCTGGATAAGAATGGCGAAGCTACCGGTGACTTGTATCTGGACGATGGTGTGAGCGTCCAACCAGACGCTACCCTTACTGCGGAATTCACCGTCCAACAGAGGAAGCTCGAGGCTGTTGTTAGCCAAGGGGGATGGGTTGATGGCAACAGCCTGAGGAATATCACCATCTTGGGTGTTGAATTCGTGGGCCGTGCTGTCAAGTTCAACGGTCGCCCTGTTCATCGCAGACATATTCACTTTGACAAGCCGAAACAGACCTTAGTTGTTTCAGGATTCGACGTATTGGCATGGACTGGAGACCGTTGGACCCTGGAGTGGTAGTCACCCAATGCCGTACGTTATGCTCGGGGATGGTAGGAGGTTGAGTAATGTATGCGGCTATCTCTCTTATCAAGGACCTAAGCCATCGGTTGAGCGACTGGTAATCGACTAACCACGCTCTATGTCTGTGACATCTTAGCCCCTATATATTCTGCCCGAAAATTTTTTCCTACACTTGCATGCATACAGAATAGAACAGTGTCAGTTCGTTGGTCAGTCCCTATTCATGCCCTTGCTAAGAATTCGCGTGCTATGGCACGGCGTTACTGCACAGTTCCCCACGCCTGAGAACTCATTGTATGGAATATGGTGACAATCTTTGGAGATGGAAGGATAGAACAGACTTGAATAATCCTTAGGCTTAATGAATATACCTTTACACGGACTATAATATTTCATGGCATGCCAGGTCCTGTTGCTAGCCGTAACGGCCGCTGCTTCTAGTAGAACCCTGCGCTGGTACCGTCCAGCGGTTGAACGCAGGCAACAGACCTGGAAAAGAGCGTGACTTCATTGATAACTTATCAGCACAAGCGTAGTACAGAAGTGAAAAAGCATGTATATGTTCTCCACATTCAGGCATCAGGAAAACATACGGAACTTCAGTGTGGACTATTATGAACGGTCTCTGTCGTCCGATATTTATATTTAACTGTAGAACCCCGAAGCTTTCCTCGCGGGCAGTTGTGCTGGATAGAGGCAACAGTGCCCAGAGACAGCGTTGGTGTGGCCACTGCAACGGCGCTATCCGACGCTGAGCGCCAAGAACTGAGAAAGGCAGACAGGGTTTCACCGATAAGCTTTTCGCTTATTTTGACAGTGTACATTGGCCAACTGTTTCCGACGGTCGTGACCAGTGGTTGACCTTGTCTTGTTACTTGGCTGCTCACATGGGAGCTTCACGCATGTCACCACGCGATAAAGTCCTTAACGGAATGCCATGAATAAATTTACCATCCCCACTAATCGAACCGTTTACTTTCAAAGAGTAAAGGTAAGCGACCCTTGAAACCGAAAGGTGCTCAGCTATGGTCCTATGAAAGGTGGATGGCCTCAGGCCTCAGGCAACCACCAACTGACGCGTCTACGCGTCCCAGTCCGTGCAGGAACCAAATCAATGCCCGCCCTCTGCTGTGCGCCTCGTGAACAGAGGAGAAAATATGCTATATGCATGGCATATTGGTGATCCTTCAATCAAATCCTCTTTGAGAAACCGATGAGCAAGCACTCTGTTGGCGCATATATGGTACTCTACGCGAATGCTGGGCGGTCCTTCTGGGCCGTTCGCTCTCATGATACTAGAAGGGGGTCAGAGGGCTCGACTAACTCTCATCCTCACTCGGATACATCTCCTCTAAATCGGGATTTAGGAGCCTAGGGTGGGAGTGCGGAGCCTACAGTGTATAGGCAGCTACAAGACCTGCGAGCCGGTACGACAAGATTGCTGGAGCGCTTGGAACATGCTAAGTCAAGAACTAAATTCAGACATGGGCCGACACTGAGTCTCAGACGGGGATGATTATGTCAATAATCCAAGATGCGCAGACGATGGTTAAGATGCACCAACGGCTGCTGCCAAGCTAAGTCCAGAGAAGTCTCCTCCACCGAATACTCCGTCTCACTCTGACGGCGGCCGCATGCGCGATAGGCTCAAAATCGACCCGTTCATTGATTATGACTATGACCAGTCTGGCGGCAGAAGTCTGTTATCGCATTTTAGACGCGGCCTCGGCTGTTTTACTGGCTTGGAGTTCAAAATGGGACAGCAGTTCGCGATGGCTATTGATGTGCAAGTATCATATACCATGCTGGTACTTCTCATCTCTTGTCGCCATGACGGCAGGCTTTAAGCAGGTGACTTCGGATCAAAAACGTCAATACCTAATAGTATGACGGCGATGTGTTCTTCCAGGTCCTCTGCTATTTGGTTGAGCCAAGTATCCGGATGCTTGTCTTTGATCAGATAGGTGATGATTTAACAGATTCGACTATGCATTTCCCGCATAACCCCTCTATTAACTCTGGACCGGGTTATAGAGAATGGACGTCTCAGTCTTGTCCATCTCTGTCTGGATCACGGCGCTGAACGAATTTCAGTGCCTCCTCACGAGATGGACGCGGTCCCTTTGAGATCGATAAAAGGAAGAGCCCAGGATTTCGTCAGAATTTTCATGCTGAAAGCGGACCACGTGCCGTACATCAGAGCCCTCTCGCTCATAGTCGAGCAGCGGGTGCCAGCAGGACACCACCTTGTCAGTATCTTTCTTGCACGCCGCGTGCACTGCAACTTCGTAAAATGCAAGCCGTCTCTCCCGTCTCATCCCCTCCTATAGGGACTCTGACTTGAATTTTCGCGATGGTTAGGAGCGGAGGATTTAACTGCACTTATCCGGGCTGCGAGGCTAGGCAATGTTCCTCTGGTCATGCTGCTCCTGAACCACGGTCAGATGCCAATGTTGCGGCCACGATCTGGGCGGCCGTCAGGAGAAAAATAAGCCCAGAGATTCAAAGCCACTGCCAACATTTCCTGCAGAACAGTAGCCCAGGTGGCGATAGAAATAGGTTATTCTGAGCTGGTCCGATTGCTTGTTGATCCTGGCGCAGATATGAAACTTCCATAGCGTATCTGCCCGGTGCTGGGTCACGTCTGCCATCCCACGCCAAGGGCTACGTGCCTCGAGGTTATGGATGCTCCAAAGACCGCCGGGCCTTACCCGCGATTGATGAATAGTACTTGGTGATTGTGTTGTTGATGATTTGCAACTCGGTGTTAGGTGTATATGCCTAGGCGGGGGAGACGGGAATATGTGCGAGGTAATTAGTGTAACCTTGTTGAGGTTGAACATTCCTGAATAAAGGAATAAAGATATTCCAAGTAGGTGAATTTTCTCTGTTGGACTCGATCTGTAGACTACGACGTACGCTATGAAGTGGTCACCAGCATACAGTATCGCGCCTGTTCTGTTTGGACGAGGCTGTCTCAAACCAGGGCGTCGTGAGGCTGTGCATATGCCAAACCAGGGTGGCTCGTATTGCCTGCCAGGGCTTTACCGCCCATACAGATTGGGTATAACAACAGCCCCTGCACCTCGCCCAAAGACACCGATGCGGACCATCAAGCCCCGAAATAGCGGTCAAGATTAATCATAAATACGGCCATCATTTTTGATAGATCTAGATGAATTCAAGTCCTTGCAACCATCCAGATTAAGCGGTATTATACGCGGTAGTTTAGACTCCCTCGGCATCCGTTCAGTGTATTTCCTTCTGCCAGCTCTGCCAAACTCGATAAGCCTTAATACATCAGTATCTTTCAAAGTTGTCGCTGTCTCATGGGTGGGATCCCTTGATATTTTTGGTCGGCTCTCCAGAAATATAGCGTCGCCCTGGATCATTGCTGAAACTGCGTCTAGTCAGAATGGACGAGGATGTATTAGACGTTAACGAGCGTCCCGAGACGATTCTATCGCACCAGCCGAAGCGACAGAAGACGATCCACGGTGGTCTTCCGAATCCACGGCATGACTGGTACACAGTCGGCTGGATCTGTGCACTGCATATAGAAATGGCAGCAGCTCGGGCTATGCTGGACGAGACCCACGAACCCCTGTCAAAGCATACAGACGACAGCAATACCTACGTCCTCGGGCACATCAAGGAGCACAATGTGGTCGTTGCGTGTTTACCGGACGGGCAGTATGGCACAAACAATGCAGCGATAGTCGCGACCAACATGTTGCGAACGTTCCCAAGGATTCGCATCTGCATGATGGTAGGGATCGGTGGCGGTGTACCAAGTAGAGCTGATCTGCGTTTGGGTGATGTCGTTGTTGGAACAAGAGTGATGCAGTGTGATCTTGGCAAAGTTATCGACGACGGACACCTATTGCGAACAGCAGTACCCAGGATTCCTCACCAGTCGCTTGGGACGGTTGTGTCTGCCCTACGCTCGAAGCACGAATTGAGTCCCAGTCGAGTCCCAACAATCCTGCAACAGAAGCTAGGTCGCCAACCCGCATATAGTCGCCCAACAATGCCAGACCGTCTTTTCCACGCGACATATGACCACGAACCTGGTACCCATGGCTGTGATGGATGCGATCAGTCAAAGCTAGTGAAACGGAGTAGCCGAATTGGGACCGAGATAATAATCCACTACGGCGCAATAGCTTCGGGGAACCAGGTCATGAGAAGTGGCACGACTCGAGATAACGTAGCTCGACAATTGGACATCATATGCTTCGAAATGGAGACTGCTGGACTGGTTGATATTCTTCCCTGCCTTCCGATCCGGGGTGTCTGTGATTACTCAGACTCTCATAAGAGTAAAGAATGGCAGAGGTACGCCGCAGCAACTGCGGCGGCATACGCCCGGGAACTTCTCGAGGAGATACCTGTGACTCACACGCATACAAATAAGAGGTGCAAGGATGATTTGAGTAAGTCCTATCCGTGTTTTGGGGCCCTCAAACCAGTTTTGCTCATTCTAAGCAGTCGATGGCCCGTGCGATGAACGCCGGCAACATTTGTTAAATTCCCTTAGGTTCGAGCGGATTGATTCCCGCAGAGTGAACATCAAGGCCGCCCATTCTAAGACGTGCCACTGGTTTATTAGCCATCCTACATACAAGGATTGGCTCGATCGAGCTGCATTGACACAGCACCGTGGTTTCCTGTGGATTAGGGGTAAGCCAGGTGCCGGCAAGTCAACAATTATGAAATTTGCACACGAGCGCATGAGGAGAAGGGCGCAATCTAAGAACAGTGTCACAGCTTCCTTTTTCTTCAATGCGAGGGGTGAGGATCTAGAAAAGACCGTCCTCGGAATGTATCGGTCCTTGCTACTTCAGCTCCTTGAAGGTTATCCAGACCTCCAGGCAATCTTCGACGATCCCGAGCTTGTTCCTGGAAGACTTAGTGGTTGTCCTCCCTTGAACAGCCTGAAAGACCTTTTTTATAACTCGGTCTCCCAACTTGGTTTACGCGAATTTACTTGCTTCGTCGATGGTCTTGACGAATGCGACGAACAACAAGTTATTGATATGGTCCAGTTCTTTGAAGACCTCACGGAACAATGTTCAGCTAAGGGGATCCCGTTTCGAATATGTTTCTCTAGTCGACACTATCCATATATTGACATTCGACAAGGGATCCGTCTGACACTGGAGGATCAGCCAGGCCATGCTAAAGACTTAGAGACCTACGCTGCTAGCCGTCTACGAATTAGCGACCCATTACTTGCCGAAGAGCTGCGATCTACGCTTCTTGAAAAAGCGGCGGGCGTCTTCATGTGGCTAGTTTTGGTTATCGATATACTTAACAAGGAGGATCGACATGGAGCGATGTTCCTCAGAAAGAGACTTGCTAAGATACCGAGTGACCTTAGTGAATTGTTCAAGGACATTTTGAGACGCGACAGTGAGGACATAGAGGCTCTCCTTCTTTGCATTCTTTGGATTCTGTACGCAAAACGCCCGTTACGACCAAAGGAGTTTTATCATGCGATGTGGAGTGGCTTGTCACTCGTGGGTCTCACTGATTGCCAAGTTCCAGATATCACCATATCCGATTCAAGCGTGGGTTTGAACCAGTTCGATAGGTATGTCGTTCATTCTTCAAAGGGGCTAGCAGAAGTTACAAAGTCCAAACAGCCAACTGTGCAGTTCGTGCATGAGTCTGTCCGAGACTTCCTTATTAAAGACAAGGGCTTGTGTGAATTATGGCCTGAGATCGGGCTGGATTACGAGGGCCTAGGTCATGAAAGGCTCACACAATGTTGCTGCCTCTACATGAACCATCCATCGGTAGACGCATCGCTCAGAAATCTGGCCTCAGTTCCAAGCTCGGACTGGACAACGCGGACCTTGAACAAGCTTCCTTTTCTAAAATACGCGGGTCAATACATCCTCGACCATGCCAACATTGCCGCCAAGTTACTTCCCCAAGGAGACTTCTTGTCTGCTTTTCAACTTTCCAATTGGATCAAAATCCGCAACGCCTTTGAAAAATTCAAGGTTCGCAGATATACCCAGGATGCAAGCCTGATCTATGTTCTCGCGGACAACGGCTACTCGGAGCTCGTCCGCATCAGGCTCAAAGAGGACCCGCAAGATTGTGCTCCTGGGGAGAGATACAGGTACCCGTTATTCGCTGCGTTAGCGAGCGGTTATAAGGACACTGTCGCTGCTCTTTTAATGTTGCCATCGCATATATACGACGGTATGGATCTTACAGAGGGCCTGAACAATAGAAAAGATTTCAAAGCGTACGAGAATCGGACACCGCTGTCTTGGGCTGCTCAAGACGGGCGCGACACTATTACCAAGCTCATCATTCAGACCGGAACGGACATTGATCATAGAGATGGAGGAGGACGATCACCGCTTTCGCGTGCTTCTGAGAATGGCCATCAAACGGCTGTAAGGCTTCTCGTTGACAAAGGAGCTGAGGTCAATACTTGTGACCGAGATGGATGGACACCACTTTCACGGGCGTCAATGAATGGTCATAAGGAAGTAGTGAGGCTTCTTATTGATGGAGGAGCGGAGCTCAACGCCGGTATCAGATTTGGTTGGACGCCGCTTTCATGGGCCTCACAGTACGGCCATGAGGCAGTGGCAAGGCTTCTTATGGATAAAGGAGCTGATGTCAATTTCAGAGACAAACACGGATGGACACCTCTTGCCTGGGCTCTGGAGGATGGTCACGAAGCCGTGGTGAGGCTTCTTATCGAGAAAGGGGCGGAGGTCAACAGTGCTGACCAATACGGCCGGACACCGCTTTCATGGGCCTCACAGTACGGCCATGTTGAAGTCGTGAGGTTTCTTATCGATAAAGGAGCTGATGTCAATTTCAGAGACAAATACGGATGGACACCTCTTGCCTGGGCTCTGGAGGATGGTCACGAAGCCGTGGTGAGGCTTCTTATTGAGAAAGGGGCGGAGGTCAACAGTGCTGACCAATACGGCCGGACACCGCTTTCATGGGCCTCGCAATATGGCCATGAGGCAGTGGCAAGGCTTCTTATCGAAAGTGGAGCAGACGCCTGTGATAGTGATCAAATGGGCGGAATCCGTATTTGATATCGGATGTCGATCAATGGGGGTAGCAGGGCGACGACTCTTCTTGTTCCTGTAAAATTGAAACAAAGGAAATGTAAGACGGCGCAGCATCAACTAGATCAGCTTACCTTAATGCACCAAGGGTCTATGTTCCAGAGAAGAAATCCATTAAGTCATTAGGACTCGGGTGTTCGACATGCACACCGCGCATTTGATATGCAAGTACGTATCAAACTGTGTCAATCTGGGACAGCATGTGTCCGGTTGAGTCTACATGCTTTCCGATAATCTCGGGTATAAAGGGACGATGTCTTATGTGCTAGTCAAACTTGACACTGTCTATTCGGGTATCCTGAGTTCCTTGCTGCAAAGCGGCGCCTGTCCACCATTACTTCATATTGTTTGAGCTATAGAACTACCTATTATCATCGGTGTGCCTAAGCAACCTTAAACTTTAGCGAGCCAAACGCCTTACGCCACCGAAACTACCACCTTCCCGTTGGGTATCGCATCCCCAAGGAGAAAGAGCGTCGTCTAGCTGCTAGCTTTTCGATGCAAAGAAAGTTCTTGTACGATCTTTCCCCTGCTTCCTCTCTTCGTGGCATCATGTTTTGTTTTGATTAGCTTTACTGGGCACTAGCTTTAAGCTTAACCACTTTCAGCCATCTCTGCTTAAGATGTCTGTTAATGATCTTAACGACGTTGTCAGACTTCATAGTGAGAACCTAGAGTATCCTAGCTACCGGTGTGGCTTTGATAATTTCTTTGCTTCGACTTTTGTCACAATAGCATGTCAATAGTAGACATAGAAACATTCATATTGACGAAACAAAGGAGTGAACGAGAAGCTTAAGTTAGAGAGATTAGGAAAAGAAACAAGCTAATCATGCTTGCTGATGAAAAGGATGGTCTAAAGACTAGTGATAGCTAATATAAACGCCTAAGCATTGTTAGCGTTGCCGGAATTAGAGATACTTTATCTCTGATTTCCTACTGGATAACTTCACGGGCTTCACGGCCGCTATTAACTTGTAGCTGGGTTTGAGGTCTTACTACTAGGCCGTCGTTAGTAAGTAGTTAATCTTTATCTTAACGGTAATACTTTCTATTTCTATTTATTGCGGGCGAAGCCCTAGTTATTTAAGATAAATATAGGTACTGAATTAAAGGCTACGCTTATAGAAGAGTATTATCAAACCCTGGTATCCGTCTAAGCTGCGTAACCTGCTAGTGTTATAGTTCAAGCACGAAGGTGACTAGAATCCACTGGTCCGAGGAGTAACTAATACTTATCCTAGGAGCAAGACGGCCCCTGTGAACAACGAAGAGGTTCTGGAGAACTAACACGATGGTCCTGAGATCCGAGGCAGCAAAGATAGAAGCAAGGCCAAGGGGATACGTATATCCACTTGTGATAAGAGTGTTGACGAATCGTACTAGCATTGACAACGATATGGTTATCTTTGACAGTTGTATTCAACGCGAAGAACTAAACAAGAACTATCTAAGTACATGGTAATGAGTGTCCTTATATCCTTTCGATCCGGTGGTGATAGATGTGGTAGTTTGGTCGGATGGTAGCTCGATAGCACTTTGTCGAGCGTTGCGATATTGCGATCGTGCGATCGTGCTATCACTTGCATTCAGCGTGGTGTCCGATTGGGTGGTTCGGCGGCTCCAAGAAAATCAAGTTCGTAGAGGTACACATGTACTTGATCTTCTTGTGGCCTTTCCTGATCCGGTTTAGCGCTCAGGCTATGATCACTGAGCCGCGGGCTGAGTGACAGGCAAGTTGCGGGCATCTCTTTGTTGCGGGGTTCAGTTGGTTGTCATTGCCCAGTGGTTCTGCCTAGCGTGGCCGCCCTCACGTAACTGACCCCTGGTGGTGCCGTAACAAGTATTTAAACAAGAAATCGCCGAGTAACGGAGAGATTCATCGCAAAATTCGGCAATACGTAAGCGACGGAAATCTTTATAGAGAATTATAGTGGAAGTATTATTTATTGCGTCTAAAGCTTAAGTCAGCCCTCGGCTTACTCTCTAAATTACTATTCCTCTTCCTGTAACTGTTTTTCCTCTTCTAAGCGTTATTCTAGTTTATGTATCTCTTAAAGTGATACTTTGTATATAGTTAGATGCTGCTTATTATTAAATTATTTTAGGGGTTGTTTGTTTTGGTTATTTTGGCCTAAGTCTTGTAAAAGAGTTTATTAGTGATAGCCAATAACGTGCTACCTCTACATGTGGCCCACTGTTGTCACTTCAATTAGTGAATACCCAACAACATATTCTCTAGTCGCCCTTGTCAAGGTTATCATTAGAGTGGGTTAACCTGACCGTTGTACCTCACCATAACCTGACCATAACCGGCCAGGTCAGGTTAAGGTATGAAGAACCTAATAACCGGACCGGTACAGTCAGGTTAAAGGTAAAGGTTCTACCTCACCGGATTAACCGGCCGGTGAGGAAGGGGAGGTTAATCCGGTGAGGTTACTAACCGCAGGTTGAATAGTAATTAATACATCTCTGTTACCTCTATAATTTATCGTATATAATACATGTTATTATTTTAGTATTAATACTCTTGTGATCCCGTGATGTAATTTACTGCTTAAAATTAATTAATTGAAATATTCTACTTCGACATACTAAAAGGATATCTATTATCTACTCTCTATTTCTTATACTGTCCAGGGCGTCGTTGATGATTTCGAAGGGATCGCGACTCTTCAACAGTCCGGGTAGTATATATAGGTTCTGGTAGTAATCCATCCTTCGGATCCTTATCTATATCATCTATATCCTCACTGTTACTAATATACAAAAGCGCTTCGGTTGTATTATCTTTTTCTTCCCTGTGTGCGAAGACAATGGAGTCGGGGTTAACCTCATCAAGAATTTGCTGATATTCCTTATTAATGGTAAAGCGATCGGTACACATCTGCAGCATAATAGCCTTAATAATGTCGGGATATAACCAACTCCGGCGATAGTAACAGATATCTTAAGAGCTGTTAAAGAGGCGTTCGACACTGACACCGTTAGTTGCGACCGTAAAGAAGTCTCTTGCCATAGAATAGAGAATTAGGAACTGGTTACGACGAGATTTCCAGTAGGCAAGAATATCAGTTTAACCGGTAGTGCCTTATCGACAGTAAGCAGAGTGTAGATCTATTTAAAGTACGACTTACCTTTTATATTAAGATAGGCTTTAAGCTCCTTAAAGGTCTCTGATGAAGTAGCGAGTCTTCGTCGTTTCGATAGATGGTAAAATACCTTATTTAGTCCTAATAATAGGTCTAAAACAGTCGACAGCGTCTTAATACTTAGATTCTAACTGCGGTAGAAATAGAACACCTTCTCAAAAACAGTGCGATATTTTTAATACTAATCAGTGTCATCGTCTAGCCACGTAGCTGTTTTGAACTTCTCAAGCTTGGAGGTAGAATCAAGAATTGTTGCAATAGCATAGATATAACCCTCTACTTAATATATTCGCTGATAGTATTTCCGGAGTTTCTTGTGGGCTTCTTGTAAGCCTTCAAGAATCTATTGTTTCCACGAGGCTTATTTATTCCGAAGACAATCAATGGTAAGATCTAGATAGTCAAACAGATCGTTGTAGATATTATATACCCTATAGACAGTAGGGCCGGTATTCTCCGAGAGGCAGGACGTGAAGATGTAAAATGGATATAGAAGCTCCAGAAGATATTCTAACTGTTTTTATTTAACCGGTGTAGGGCGCAGGTAATCAAGCTTCCGATTATCCTAGTGCTGGATAAAGCTCTCGATTAGCTAGCGGAGCTTCAGCGCACGTCGAATTATCAGATAAGAAGAGTTCCATCGGGTCTTGCAGTCGAGAAGCAGATAGTATATCGACCCGAATTCCAGCTGTTAAGTAAGTTAGAATTCTTCACGACGTTAAGGGCTAGCATTCACGAATTTAGCGATCTTACTAATCTGGGATAACAATAGATATTAGTAAATATTCAACACTTATTCGGGTTTACTAAGGGGATACTAAGGAAGCCTTCCTTAGCATCCTTCTAGGTAGCGAGATCTAAGCCACTTTTTCGGTTATAACCGAAAGAATACTAAGGAAGGCTTCCCTAGTATCCTTCTAGATAGCTTAATCGAAGCAACCTTCTCGGTCATAACCGAAATCTCGGCCCGCTGGCATACATACCTTTTCAATAGCGCGTGAAATACTACCAGATACTTTAAGTGTTTTATCGCTGTTCTCCCATGTGTAGGAGACTGTGTTATTCTTAGCTGCGATCCGCAATTTATTTATAAAAGAGATAACGCAGAGCTGGATAACATAAGCAAGACATAGGATGTAATACTGAGTCTAAAGAATTTTAGAAAGCTCTGGGTCGGCGATAGCATCCTAGATCTAGATATTTATATCAAGTTTATCGCGAAGTTGCTCTGTGAGAGAGAAGAATATAGTACTGTTATTGCTCGCGTTGTCGGTTGTTATCCCTAGTAGATAATAGCATAGATTATACTTATAAAGAACCGACAGAACAATAGTAATAAGGGTTTTACCTGTATAAGAACCGGATACTAGTTGGAAGCCTAGAATAATCTTATAGTAATTAAGATTGTTTGTTAAGAAATAGCCAGTAAGTATAAGAAATGCTTTCTAATCCGGGCTTATCTAACAGTTAAGTATAATTAATATTCTGCTAGTCGCCGGGAACCGCGAGAGTAGCTGTATATAGATTTCATCCGATAACTCAATTAATTGTTCCTTAATCTGCTTTTAATTCGGAATATACAGTCTGCGCGATGATAAGACAGCGGCGAGATTGATTATTCGTTGAAATTAGATATGCTCGATAGTTCGAAAAGGCAGACGGCAGGTAACAATAAATCGAAGGACTTAGTCTAGGAATTCTTGTTTAGTGTAGATGGTTGTCGGGCCCTAAGAAATCAAAGCTCTTAGTATAAGATAAGTATAAGAAGAGCAGATACTCTACCGGTTTTTCACTTAGCATCTGAGTTACTGTTCGTTTGAAAGGTACAGAAGACGACTTCTTAGGGCAGCCTTTTCGGACATGATAGGCTATTGAACTGGTCCCTGTGTGCTCCGTTGACAGATGTTAGAGTAGATAAGAACATGAGACACAAAAGATATAGGGGGTTCTATCCCGGAATTGTACGCCTTCGTAGAATTTATCCCATACAGAGGAGTGCTTTTTAGGATTGAATCGAGGTAATGGTTTTTTAGCCTCTCTCTGTTTCTGGACCCAAGTAGTAGTATTCCACCATTCTTCAAAGATAGGAATCTTTTCTTGCTCGGTGGGATACTAAATAATCTTACGGCCTTTGGAGAGACGCAGAGAAGCAACCTCAGGAGGTAGAGAAAAAATAGAACAGTCATTAACCTCTGTCTGATTATCGCCATTAGTAAAGACTTAGGAGATTAAAGAGGATGATGCAATAGTATCCTGTGAATATAGATCGGAGGGATAGAATTAATATACTATAATGGATAGCAAGGCTTTATTAATAGCATCAACATGGGAAGATAGAAAAGAGAAATTTTCAGGGGACATGATGTTGAGTAGATTAATAAATAGAACGCGTCGCGTTACTATCAAAATATAATAGATCTAATAAAGGTTAGTGGTGGTTGGGATAGAACCCGTGATAATCTAGCTACCATCAGTGTCTATTACTATAAGAACACTAGAAATAAGGAATATTTTATAAGAAATATAGCATTTCTGTTAATACTAAAGATGTAGATAAGGATACTATTGCTCTAAATAATTAATATAATAGCTATAATAGAGATTATCTCTAAAATCTACTATTAATGCTGGTAACGGGGAACAAGGTATGTATTAATATATATTTCCATGCCGTATCTCTGGGTAACACCAACTTTTATAGAAAAATAAGAATTCTATCAGCCACACTAGAGTAGAGGTATTTTTATAAAGATAGTTTGAATAAGAGATATAGTTATTTATTTTTAATATTTTTTAAAAAATTAAATAACGCTTCTATTATAGATTTTTAGAAGATTGGTTAGAAACAGTAAGGTTAATGCGGTTAACCTAACCGGAACCTTAACCGGACAAGGCCTAAATAGGCCAGGTATATTGCTTTTAGCGCTAAGAACGGTTAATCAGATTAACCTAACCTCTTTTTTTTATACCGCGGTTAGGTAAAAATAAGGTGCTTAACCTCACCGTTAACCTGCGGTCAGGTTATGCTGGAGGTCCTTAACCTCCCCTCACCTGGCCATTGCCCACTCTACTCCGAACACTGGAATAGTGGCCAAGATTGACCATTAGATAAAGCCATTTTTCTAATAGATTTAGATTGAATTCAAGTCCTTGCCACAGTCCCATTTAAGCGGTAGATTGCGCGGTAATTCAGACATCTGCATACTTGACACTTAGGAAGTCGTGGCTGTACCATTACATCGTATTTCCGATCCCGGTGACGAGTGCGCGACCTGGATCGTTCCAGCCATGGCCAGAGTGAACAAAGGGAAATGGTCGTAACAACTGCCTGGAGTCTTCATCAATGGTTTCACTCAAAACTCTATACTTAAGATTTCAATAATCTTCCACTATGGACCAGAACGCAAGTCCGATAAAGTGGTGGGCCAAAGTCCGTGAGCCGCTCATTGTGAGTAACTTGATGGGAGTTAAAACATAAAATAGGTCATATCACATGTTGCCGAGACGGGTTTTTACTTTTTACCATAACGGCTAGAAGGCGCTGTTGGAGTCTAGAAGGGTCGGCCAGAAACTGGAACAGGCTACTCGTAAGGTTCTCAGATAAATGTACGATATATTAAGCATCGAAACCTAAAGGTTAGGGTTGCATGACCGTGTTACAGGACGCATATTCTGATTGCCTCAAGGGACCAGTCACATATTGCCAGGAGATAAACGGGAGCAATGCCGGACATCTAGAAAGCTATTATCGCGGCTCGAGATGCGATCGAAGCTACTCCACCAGGCCATCCAAACCAGGCTCGCGGTTGATCAATCTAAGAGTAAGCCTAGGATATAGATACGCCGAAACTAGAGCAATATCAGACCTCGAGGTAGCAATTATTGTGACACGGCAAGCAGCATGGCCTCAATCATTCGCTATAATATAGCAGCCATTTAGAGTGTGTATTATATATTTACGCACGGAACTTAGGGAACTTTCATTCTTCACAAATTCGCGATCCTTATTATTGTATGTACTGCGAATTTTCAGCATACCTAAAGTATACTTTAACCGCAACCCTATAACTCTATAAAAGGAAACTATATCGGTACCCAGATTAGTAGCAAAAGTAACTAACTTTAATAGAGTAGAATTTGTTACCGGGGAAGCTGAATAGGTCATTATTTATAGGGCTCTAGAAACGTAGCTGAGCTCAACTGTTCGCAGAATCTTTAATATTTGCCTCGAGAATAAGTTATCTTACAGCAGCTGGGTAACCAGTCCAGGATAGACATATGTAAACTATTAACTGACTAATGCCATAAGCTCGGTTAGTTACGCTGCTATACGCATGAAAAATAGCAAGGAGATAAATTTAGAGAGTAAATCATTCATTTTGTGTTTAAAATAATTTGACACTATGTATTGCTGTTGCGTCAGAAGTACAAGAAAACTGGCCCCAGGTTAGGGACTTGGTCACTAAATCGTTGGATATAAACGAGTCGGAACTCGACATTCCTGCCACTAAGGTGACTGGTAGCCCTAACCTTGTAAGCGCCCTGAAAATCCCTGGACCTAGGATGTAGCGTCAGAGAGTACGGTCTATTGTGGGGTTCCTTGGCAGTCACTCCCACGCTGCGTTTTCCCCGCCCGAGTCGGCTAGTGCCTCAAAACTTTGACTTCTAGATCACCATGAACACTTCAATACCTTCCAGTGTACTGTAAGAATGTAGTGACAATGGGGACCCACAAGAACCCGGGCCTCTCTCGATGAACCCCTAGAATTAGTATTATTTGTACCTCTCAATACTTATGCCTGGAACGGCCTATTAAGCGGTAACACTGTCAGTCCATCGTCACTTACCACCCTGGAACATGTATGGCACTCGCCCTACCCGCGATATGGTCTAAGTTGATCCGCCAGACAGCAAGACCGGCAGCACTCTTGAGATCGCTGGAAAAGGGATGGAGGGCCCTCAGAGAGTTGATCAAAGGGCTGAGAAAGTACGTGTATGTGCATGTTTTGGTTCTTTTGCACCGTGTACCGTGGACGCTCCATCGCATGACCAACGCCACTGCGAACATATTCTAATGAGTTAACCTTGGGTCGATAGTAGTATATCATCCGATGTCCGGCCCAGCCGCATGAACTTCAGCAGCTGTCGTCCTCTATGTACTCTTATATTATCCCATATCTCAAATTATAGCACCTTAAAGTTCTGCTATCGGAAATTGCGGATGCCGAGGATCTCCACTTCCCTTGACTGAGCCCCATCATTTCAGTCATCAGAAAATCCGCAAGGTAGGATCATCCTGGGTCAGCACATCATCCCAACGTAACTTAGGTCCTTTCAGTGAAGTGCGTCGTTGCAACACTGTTATCCGAAATGGCCATGTGGTTGAATTCTCCCTGCTAGGCTCTCCCGCGTCGAACCTCACCCTGTTGGACTTAAAAACTGCCCAACCTACTTTTGCCAGCATTCCGGCTTTATTACCCGCAGCTAATGAGATGGACAGCCGCGGAGACAATCACTCTGGAATGGATTCCGCACAGAACAGTGTGGGCGTGCTGTCGCGCTGATGGAGGCCTCTGAGGACCTGCATGATTGCCTCGCGCACGTTGCCTGCGATAGACCCCATCGAACCTCGTCTGAATGTCTGGCCCTTAGGCAGGGAACCGGCCAGGGAGGACCTCCTGCAGCGTCGCGAGTCGCCAGAGTAGCATAGACTTCATTTATAAGGTGGTTCCGCGCGTTCCTGTGTGTAAGCAGGATACAATCCATCTATTGGCAATCAGTCGGCCGGCCGCTAGCTGTCCGGCGCTGTGAACCGTGGATGGCAATTATCTTAGTCATAGCGGTAAAGGCCTTAGGATGCTTCTGAGCCTTGTAGATCGCCCAGACCCGTTGGAGGATACACTTAAAAGTTATGCGGTCATGGAAATGAATATATATAGAATCGGACACTACAGCGGCGACCCCCTCAAAGTCTTCGAAAGGGATGGCTGGGCTAAGGGAGGAATGTCCGGTGGTAGCGGCGGTAAGACACTCATTGCACGCCTAAATCTATTAGTACTTTGCTTTGTTGCTAGGCGTCCGGCGGAGAGACAACATACCATAGTAAAGATATTCAGAGACAGACACGCGGCTAGCTAGATTATCCAGGAATTTAATAGCCGCACGATCCTTCTTGATCAATCAATTGATTCGGTGATATTAGATTGAGAGCTCGGTGGTTGATTAGTTAAAGGTGGTTGGTAATGGGGTATTGTGGAGAAATACCAGGAGGTCAGAATCCGTGAATGTGTCTTGGATATAGAAGAGAAACACGAGGTGATGACGCCTAGCAGTATCAGATTCAGGGCCCGGTGACTGATTAGCCAGAGGTGGTTGGTAATGGGATATGGAAGGTGAACACAAGGTGATGACGCCTGGCAGTATCAGATTCAGGGCTCGGTAACTGATTGGTCAAAGGTGGTTGGTAATAGGATATGGAAGAGGAACACAAAGTGATGATATCTCACTGTATTAGATTCAGGTAGCAGATCAGTAAGGTATAGTTAGTAACAGGGCATTGAAGAGGAACACTAGAAGGTCAGATTCAGTGAATATATATTGAATATAAGATCCATCTATTGTCCTAGGTGGTTGGTAATAGGGTATTAAAGAGGAACACAAGTTAGTCTTCATGCAGAAGTTAAGCAGGAGGATAGGGCTGCAGGTATGTTTTACAGGGAGGGAAATAGGAAGTAGATAGCGAACCGGCTTCACTGACTTCATCTCTCACTTTATCTGTTCCTTTACCTCTCACTTCACCTCTTCATCTCTTCCTTCATCTCTTCCTTCACCTCTTCCTTCACCTCTTCCTTCACCTCTTCCTTCACCTCTTCCTTCACCTCTTCCTTCACCTCTTCCTTCACCTCTTCCTTCACCTCTTCCTTTACCTCTCACTTCACCTCTTCCTTTAGCGGAGTATCCCCTATCTGGTGAAGATAGTCTACTATCCAGCCGGCCGCCTAACTCGAAAGTCAAGCATTCACTACACAGCCAGCTGTCTCAGGCTATTGTTTCCCAATCTACTTATCCGCCTGGCTGACGGTTGTCCTACTCTACCAATACCGATTACCATCCAAGTCAGCTCTCTCACACCTTGCCTCCACAACTATCAGCTACATCCCTCTCTTGCTACTAGCTAAGACTATGCGCCTCCAGCCATTCCAACTGGTGTGTTCAAGTCCCCTGGCCAGTGCCGCCGGTCGAGAGCTAACCCCGCTACAGTACGCGAATGCCTGCGCTGCCAGGCTGCAGCCCGGGAAGAGACCCCAACACGAATCCGGGTTTTTCTCTTTGATCATACCTATGAGCCGATCATCGCGTGGGTTGAATTGCGCTTCCATTCTGGCATGACCCTCCAATGTGCAGGGGACCAGCTGGTGGCGCAGTGGCCGTCTACCGGCTATCGACCGATTATAGATATTATTGAGGTTAGTGTGATAACAGAGGACGAGACACGCCATAGCCGCCCGCTCGGAGGCACGCTCTGCTGCTGGCAGTGTGCTCTGCCGACCCCGAATGGGGCTGCGCTTGAGATCCATATGTCGGTCCGGTTGGCGGATGGGTCGGTTTAACGCGGCGTCGGGCGCATTGAGCAAGGACAGAATAGGGCCGGCAGGGAATCAGACGGGCCTAGGGCTCCAAGCAACCAGGGGTGGCAGGAAATCAGGGTGGATTTGTTCTGTTGTTAGCTTTGGACCGGAGAATCTGAAGACTGTTCTACCCCTCTCTCTCTAATGAATTCATTCTACTCTACAAGGCGCGAAGCCGTCTATCTGTTAATATTAATCGACAATGCCTAGGGGGCGCGGGAGCGGTTTTAGCGGTATAAATACAGAGTGTCTAATAACATGGATTAACCCCCATTTAAACTTCTATCCCTCTATTCCAGGCAGAGAACAGCGATCCAATAAGGCATGTAATACTAGCGGATTTCAATAGAGAGATCCTGATGGAGAATTCAATCGCGGGCTAGTTGGTGGTCCGCTAGATAAGAATATGGGGGAGAAATATATATTGCCTTCAGGCTGTTACATGCGCCAAATTCAGTAAGCATCGACAACAGAAAATTAAAAGCAAAAGACTCTGTCCGATTGGTCGGACTACCCTAGCTCTAGGACAGCAATTACTCACCGCGACCACAGTGAAATTAAAGAAGCGATGGAATTCGCATGCTGCAGGAATCTGCCTCGCCATCGTCCCGCGATCTTCCATTAGAACTATCTGAGAATGAACAATCGCACCATCCCGATTCGAGTAATCCGCCTCTAGCGCTCTGAGTCATCCCCACCGCCGGCTTTCATTCTCCTTAGTCGGCGCCCTCTGGCGGGCGATCCCAGGCTATTCTGCCTCACGATCCAGGAAGACTGTCGTACAGAGGTCGCGGACGGTCCCCCCCAGATAGTCCCACAGCAGCCGGAACAGGCCCAGGCTGACAAAATAGGTCGCTCGGAACGCCTCATCCATTAACTCGCGCATCCGAGCGCTGTACTCGTGGAGCTCCGTAGCATCAGACTGGCCAGCCGCCACTAACTGCTGATGGGTCGCAAAGAGCTGGTTAATCTCCCCTAGCAGGCGGGCGACAGTTTGGGCGCGATGGAGGAGATCTTGCAGTTGAGGGCCGCAGCCGGCTGTTCCGTGATTAGCTCGGTTCTGCGATGGGCTTGGATTACTTACGCGGTAGGACCCGCGGGTTATGCGAACGGAGCTGAGGCGGCATAATAATGTAGCCGTGACACGGAGGGTAGATTCGGTTAGAGGAGGAATGCTGGTCAAGGCTGTTAGCGCTCGCTATAGTCGGATATAGAGGAGTAGGGACCCATCTGGATTGGGGAGGCGGCTCACTGGGTCAGGCAGATAGAGGCTGTGTCTCTCGGTAGCTAGAGAGATTGGAAAGAAGAAGAAGAGGAGAGAGAGGTAGGGGGGAGACAATCACGCCCTTGAAATACAGCCAGCATCTGCTGCTAGTCTTCACTCAGAAGCCGAGTTAGAGAATCAATCTGCTGGTGGGCTTCACAGAAAAGGAAGTAGAAAATACGGAGCGCAGCGGCTTCACTGCCTTTATCTCTCCCTTTGTCTCTTACCTTCTTCACTTTAAAGCAGAGTGGGAGGATAGGTCTGCCAGTCTATATTATAGGGAGAGAAGTCAGAGGTAGATACCGTTGGACTGTATTTATCTCTCACTTCATCTTTGTGTTTGTCTCTTACTTCACCTCTCACTTTATCTCTCCCTTCACCTCTCACTTCACCTCTTACCCTGCCTCTTACTTGATCTCTCTCTCTCCTGTCAAGGCAGTCCTCCCTATCAGTAACTGAGCTTACCATCCGGCCGGCCGCGATTATCTGAATTCAAAGATTCACCGTGCAGCCAGTGGTCGAAAGCGCTTGCTTCCCAATTCACTAGTCCGTCGCCTTTACCAACGTCCTCTTCCACCACCTTGATCCACTGCTGCTTCGATCAGCTGTCTCCGGCATCCTTCCCGACGATCAACAGAATCCTACCACCGCTTCTGGCCAAGACCATGCGCCTCCAGCCGTTCCAACTCGTACGTTCAAATTCCTAGGCCAGAGACGCTGGTAAATCGCTAACCCCGCCATAGCACGGCGAATGCGCGGGCTGCCGCACACCGAACGTCCACGAGCTGTTCAAAGTCCACATCTTTAACTCTACCGATGAGCAGCTGATGGAGACCATCCGCCTGCCTTTTCATCCCGCTATCACTCTCCAGTGTGTGGGAGATCAGCTCATGGCTAAGTGGCCGTCGACCGGCCGTCGACCAATTACCGACATTACAAAGGTCTGGGTGTGGTGGGGGGCTGAGGTACGCCATAGCGAGCCCGGCGGCGGATTATGCTGCTGGCACTGTCCGGTCCCGGCTCTCGGCAGGGACAAGGGCGAAATCCACATATATGTTCGCTTGGCGGATGGGGTAGTTTAACCGGACGTTGGATCTGAATGGTCGACAGAATGGGGCCAACGGGGAATCTCTAGGGGCTGATCAGAAGGGCCAAAGGCGGGCCAAAGGCTTTACGCAACCAGAGTTGGTAGGGAAGCAGGGTGGATTGGTCATGTCTCTAGCTTCCGTACAGACAGGAGAACCCACAGACTGTTCTAATCCTCTTACTCTAATCAATCGGGATTCCTCTGCTAGGCGTAAAGCGGTCTGTCTATCGATTGTAATAGACAGTGCCTTAATGGCGCGGGGGTGGCTATAGCGGTATAGTTTAGAAGTCTTTTATACAGTCCGGTCTCTTGCAGGTTAGTAGCGACTGTTGGCTGTTGCAGGACTGTGGTATTTCAAATTTGAGAGAGCTTATTCCTAGGTTCTATATTCGTAGGCGCGTAGGCAATGGATGCCACCAAAACAACACTGCGTAGCGGATTCCAGTGCCTCTGCAGGACTGCACGAATTCAGTGTCTTCTATCTAAGCTTCTGTGAATTCAAGGTATGTTCCGCTCGTTGCCCGGGATATCAGGCTCTCTAATATTTTAGGGTACTTTTTATAAAGATTGAAAAAGGTCTAGTGTTAGCACCCCTACCCCGCGAGGGGGTTGGTAAGCCACCGCAGCCGTCCCACGTGACCACGAGCCACGTTAACATCTTACCGCTGGTCATCCCTTCTGGAGACCAGCGAACAATCGTGTATTCAGCCATTAGATAGTCTTCCGACCGCTTCTGTTCTCCATCCCATTGATTCTTCTACCTATTCCACCACCTGACACGTTAGCTACCGCCTCTGACACTTTTGTTTGTTCTACTACCCAGCTAGCCCGCTAGGAAGTGGAAAAGATGGCGCCTTCTACCAGACGAACCACCGCTCCACCAAACCGCTCCTCTGATCCATTGGGTCAGCACCCTGAGGACCGTAGGACCACCGCAGCCGAGCAGCCCCGATTAGAAACCGGTGGTCCCCAGGAGTCTGGGGATTCCTCCTAGGGGTCCCCGGCGGAACCCCTGACCGACGACAATGAGATGATGGAACAGCTCAGACAAAACGAGAGGGAATACCGGCGGTTAAAGTTGGACAGGAAGGCGGCGGAGATGACCCGCACAATCAAAATCGGGCGGCAGCGACTAGACACCACAACACAGGCGGTCACCCTCTCGGAGGATTCCTCTACTATAAATACCGCCACTACCGATAGAGGAGGACTCTCTCCTCTTTAACTATCGCTCCTTGCCCGCGGGCCTCGGCCCGGGAGGAGTTGCGCTTGCCGGTCCCCCGGCGGCGGTAAAACCTCCAGCCAGTATGTCGCACCTGACCTACGAAGGCAAGAATATGAGGGAACACCGCTATTGTATGGCTCGTCTGGAAAATCACTTCAAAACATGCATACTTCTTTACCAACGACGGCGCGAAAGTCGACGACGGTGTCTCCTACCTAGGAGCTCCCCGTCTCCGTCTATGGGAACAACATGCGGAAGAACAACAGCATGCGGTCACCTGGACCAACTTCGCGGCGTTCCTCCTGCGGCAACTAAACGATCCCGCCAACCTGCTTAGGGAGGCAAACCAGGGCTCCTACGACGCAACGCAGCAGGCAAACCAGTCCGTGAGGATGTTTGCGGCCTATATGAGGCAGTGGGAAGCGCAGCTCCCGGCGGCCTTCGCCGAAAATCAGCGGAACAACCATCTTTGGGCCCAGGTCCTGCCGCAGATTAGGGACGACGCAAGGAAATACCCCAAACCGCCCCAAACTACGCCAGAGACATTGATTTTTCAAACGAATTATGATTAAGTCACCGCACCCACCCAGCCATCCGCGGTTTCTAGACGCTATTTTAATTTACAAACAGAAAAAAAAAACCCGCCCACCAACCCACTCAAACACCACACTAAACACCCAACAGCCACTGCAGTGGCGAAGCCACCGCACCAAGCACGGCACCCGCAATCTTGCAGGGCGTCGAGGGGCCCGGGGGCGAGGGGTCGCGGCGGCCGGCAGGAGGGGCCTTACAACCGCTGCCACGCTTGCCAACCCGGCGAGGGGTACGTGGCTTGCGGTGGGCCCGGGCGAGGGCTGCCACCGCCTGGGACAACTCCCGGCGCAGCTCTGACTGCTGCGACTTGGGAGCCGCCCAGAGACGGCGGTAGGCCTGAACGGCCACCGCCGCCAAGCCAGCGTGCTCACCCTCCACCTAGATCACACTGTCAGCAACCACCGCCGGGTCTGGGGGGGCACGGGGACTTACCGGGCGGCAAGCGTGGCGCACGCCGTGACAGCGCACACAGGCGGACCTACCGGGGTTCACCCGGCAGGCGAAACCACCATCGGGGGCGGCGGGCAGGTGCTGCAAGCACCGCAGGCACCAGGAGCCACCCTCCTGGGCCTCGTTCGTGGAGGCAGCACGACCCTGCATGGCGCGGGTGGCGCGACCACGGGGGCGGCGACCGGGGGGGGGGGGGGGGGGGGGGGGGGGAAGAAAAAAACCCCCAAGGGGCCCCAAAAAACGGGGGGGGATGGGGGCCCCCCCGGGGGGGGGGGCAAAACCCCGGGGAAGGCCCCAAAAACCCCCGCCAAAAATTTTTTTATGGCCCAATTATTAAAAAGTGTTCCCCGCCCGTCTGAATCTCCGCGGGGGGGGAAAAATCATGGCGCCTCCCTCAGGTGGAAACACGAAACACGGGGC